GTTTTTAGGTGCGTCTTATAGTGCGGAAAATACGGTATATTAAAATATCTGGTTTCTACTGTAAATAAATTTCCAAATTTTCCAAATTTCAGCTTTTAATCAAATGTTAGATTGGAGTTTATTACAAAACTGTGCAGTGTGAATATTAAACACTTTACAGAAATCAAGAACTTTCCTAACCTTAAAACACCAAATTGAAATTCACCTTAAAAATAAATAGAATCTCTACAGAAAACTTTATTTTTTAAATAAAGAATAAAGTGACCTGCTTAAATTTAAGTTTAAGTTACGGCTGAGTTTTTCTCACCATCTTCAACACAATTGAACTGAAGTTTATGGAAACATTTTTTAACTTTTTAAAACTTATAGAAGCCAATTATGATTTTGGAGCCTGTTCATTATTCAGCATTACAAATAAAAGGGAAGACGTTGAATCCTAAGTGATTGGGTTGCAGAAACCAGATGCATTGCTGTGGGTTTGAATTCCCATCATTCTGGTTTACATTTCCAGCGATGATGAAGTGCTGAATGTCCAACACTGACCATATATGACTACTGGAAGAGGAGCAGCCATGGATTTACTGGGTATAAACAACTTCCTTCGCTCTGGAGCGAATAAACTGCTGAAGTTGTGGTTGCTTTCATCTGATTTCACTGCTCCTTCCCACATTATGGAATAAGATCTGCTTTAACATGCGAGTCAGATGGGATTGGACATTAGTCCTGAGAAAAAGCTGCAGCCCAGCACTGGAAATTACAACAAATATGTCAAATACGTTAGGATTTTTCTGGCAAAGACATACTGGAGTTCTCTGCACATTTTAACATAAAAAACTTTAGATTTATATAGGGATGAATCGATTAGTTGAATTAACTATGATTAATCAATTTATGAAATACTTATCAACTAAGTATTTCAGTTAATTAATTAGTAATTAATTAATTAACTGAGTATCCAGACTCAATAAAAGGCCATTTGCTGAAAACAAATATATATTCAAAGCCAACAGAAGCTGGTTGTTCTGGGCCTTCTCTCCTCACCTTATCAGTGACCTCATCATAGTCCTTCTCGGTGTCCTTGGCCTGCTCCTGCAGCCTCTGTATTCCCTCAGTGCTGCCCCCTGGTGTCTGGGGTGCGTCCTGCACCAGGCCCTGCGCCAGATCTTTGAGGTAGACCACCTGAGGCTGCAGGGAGCGCAGACTCTCCTGCTGACTCCTCAGTCTCTCCAGGCTTTTAGCGCTGCATGCCTGGATGGAAATTTGTTATTTTTTAATAAACTGACAGACATGTTTGTCTTTTTAATGATGTTTAATGAAAAACGGCAGGATGGTTTATGGTTATGATCGTTTCTTTCCAGTACCTGAGGTCCAAGAGCCTCCTGGACTTCGATCTGATGCTTGGCGGCCTCCAGCCTCCTCTCCACAGCCTGTCTGCCTTCCTCGAACTCCTTCAGGCGGCCGGCCAGCTCCTCCAGCTGGGAGGTCCGGTTCAGGAGGTCCTCACTCAGTCTGTCCACCCGCCGGTTCAGCTGCGCCTTCTCGTCTCGCAGCTTCAAGCAGAAAAATGTCTTAATAAACTGCTGCAGAAATCTGGACTTTTACAGTTATAGCTGAAACGATTAATCGGATTAATCGTGATTAATACATCATTGAAAAACATTATCAACTAATCTTGTAATGGATTACTCCATAGCTGGAGTGTAAAGACTCACAATAAAAAAAGAAAAAGAAAAAGAAAGTAATTTTATGACGTTGACTTCATGGAAAATGTTTGGACAATACGGCTCTAAAAGCTGACCTTTCTTTATGCTTTTTATTTTATTTTTTATGAATAAATACATAAAATGCCATACTACTTCCTGTTTAAAACATTTTTTTTTCTTATTTAAAAGGTAAAATAAACAAAAAGCTTACTTCTTTCTTTTAATAATTCATTTATTTAGTTGTGTCTTATTTAAAAAGTAAAAGATAAATATCGTACCTCCTCCTCTCCGATGCCGCACTGCTCCAGCAGCTGGTCGGCTGCAGTATTAAAAGCCTCCAGCAGGGGCTGCCGTCTCTCCAGGTCCAGTGTCAGCGCCCGGGCTTTCTGCAGAGACTCATCCAGGACAGACGGGTCCAGCGACGGTCGGACCTCTCTGTCTTTCTGCTCGCACTCGGCCAGCCACGGCGTCAGCTCGGCGCGGTGCTGCTGGTACGTCTCCGCTTTGCCCAGCGAGTTCTTCAGCCGGGTCTCCCGCGCCGCGATCCGCTGGTTCACGGCCTCCCAGTCCTGCCTCAGCGAGGCCAGGCGGGCCTGCAGAGCGGCGCGCTCGTCCGCAGGCAGCGTGGCGAGCATCGACACGCCCTCTGCCTGGATCAGCTCGTAGGAGCCCCGCTGGCCGGCGACGGCGCGCTGCAGCTCCTCGGTCTGCGCCAGCAGGGAGCGGATGGCCTCGGGGCGGCAGGGGAGCGAGTCGGAGGGGGATTGTTTGGGGTCCGACTGCTTGTCCAGCCAGGAGCGCAACTCCTTAAACATCTGCTGGAACTGCTGCGTGGAGGACAGAGCGGCCTGGAGCTGGGTCAGGCCGTCCGCTGAGGGGAAGGAAAGCAGAGAGCGGGTTAAGTCGTAAACTCTGACCAATCAGTTCAGATACATTTATATACATTTAATGTTGGGGATTTGTTCTCTTTTATGCACAAATTATTTTGTTTTATTGATAAGTTAACAGAATTAAAAGGGGCCGGGGTGAAAGTAATTGAGTTGTAATATCGAGTTACACCACAGGGTGGCGGTGCTTCCCCTGAGACGAGTTTGATAGAATAACTACTTGGAACCTCCTTCATGTAAGAGTCCATCTTATTTGTGTTTAACACGTTGGTAATGTCCATCGCACAATGAGAGAAAAAACAAAAGTCAAACAGTTCTGTCTTCAAAACTCGTAATTATGACTTTAAAACTATTACATTTTCACAATTATGACTAAAACTCGTAACAGTGACTGTTTTATTGGTAATGTAACAGAATTTAACACGGGGGAGGGGTGTCAGTAAATTGAATAGAGGTGTAATACCAAGCTGCACCATAGGGTGGCGTAGTTTACCTGTTCTTCTGTTAGCATGTTGGTGCTAGCATGGTTAGCTTGGCAGCTAACTGCTAGTGTATTTTAGGTTGGTTCTCCTATATTTTATGTTAATACTTCAGATTTAGGTCAGATTTATTGTGGTTAGATCTGCTAGTTTATGTTTTAGGTTCCAGTCTGTATTTTAAGATGAACGACGGTTGATACAGACCTGCTCTCTCCTCTAGGCTCCTCAGCGGCGCGCTGACACTCTGCAGCCGCTTGCTCAGCTCCTCCTTTAGGTACGGCTCGGCCACGATGGCGCTCAGCTCCCCACAGAGCCTCTCGGCCTCCGACAGCTCACCACGCCGCCGCTCCAGCTCCGACCGGATCTCTCCGGTTTCCTGCAGCCGACGCTTCAGAGCCTCAGGCTGGGCGCTGAGCGAGGCCTGGGCGTCCAGCCTCTCACCGAGCGACGCAATGCTGGAGGACAGATCCTTAAGCAAGGCCTGCAGAAGAGAAGAACAACCATCGATATAGATCACTGGACTGGGCATTGCCTATTAGCCGCTATAGCTAGCAACACGTTCCTGTGGGCGCCATTACTATGAGACATATCAAACCTTTCTTTTTCAATGAAGGTTGGGCAAAATGTTCATAGCACCATAATTTACCATCTATTTTTCTATAAAATGTGTTAAATTATGTTTTGATGCATAAAATATGTAATCTCCCCAGATGGAAGTGCTGTGAACATGAGCAGTCGTTAATTAGCGAATTTAAACACTTGCTCTATCGATGACCTGTAGGAGAGCTGATTGTCTTATTTTAGTGTTAAACAAACCGAATTACGCAGCACATGCACATGTTAAGGTTGTCAAAGTCAAGCTAGCATAACTGGTTAGCTTAACTGGCTAGTATTTAAGCTAGCATATTTGACCTACTATCCGCTATCTTTATATATATTTTGAATTAAAACTTTTAGGCGCTGCTCCAGTCCTCAGAAACCAGTCATACCTGGTATTTTTCGCTGGTTCCCTGAGCCTGATCGATGTGACTGGACCGCTGAGTCAGCCGGCCGGTCAGATCCTCCCACTGCTGGGAGATGGAGCCCAGTTCAGTCCGGACCTCCTCCAGGTCTTTGGGGTCCTGAGCCGAGTCCCCGGTTTGAGACAGGATTCCCTCTGCCGACTGGGTCAACTGGTCAAACTGGGGCCGCCGCGTGTCAAACTCCCGCAGCATAAACTGGAACAAACGGTGAACTCCATCAGTGACGCCTGGAGAAGAATCAAGATGGCGACCGTCTGCAGTTCGTCGCCCCATACCTGGACTTGCTGCTTCTGCGTGTTGAGCATGTTGGGGTCGATGCTTAGGGGCCCCAGCACGCTCATCATCAGCTCCTTCTCTCTCAGCCAGGGGCCGAGCTGATTGGCCGCCGAGGCAAAGCTGCCCAGTCGGTCGGCGCACGTCTCCAGCTCCGTCTGTCGCTGAGCTGCCGTCTGATTGGCCGTCTGCCAGCGGGAGTCTGAGGAAACAATAAACACAAATCAGAATATAACGCAGGTGACCTATAATCATTCCTTGAACAGGTTAGGCTAAGTCTATGTCCTGTACAAAACATGTTCATTGCATTTTTTACATAAAATTATTCTTAGATAGTGAGATGTTAGTCTGCACAGTTCTGCCCATGTGGTGCTGTTTTAGGGTCTCTGTCACTTTAAATCCCCACAACTCAATGCTCAGACTCAAAAGTGAGCGGTCTCCAGTCTGCTTGGTGTTCACATATGCATTCAAACCGTGCCAGAGTTCACTTCAACTGAACAGACCGAGGCTTGTAGGCAGACCAGAGTTCGCTTTCTTGGTCCGATTACGAATTCCCAAGTCCCCAAATGAACCTGACTTTAGAAAAATAGACTGAAGTTTGATTTAACTGGACTAAGCAGTGCTGGTGTGAAAGCACAATAAGAACACGTGTTATATGAAATAAAGCAGTCTGCCTTCTCGGATTTCACATTTCTGTTCTGGTTAGGTTATAGAAAGCCCCAATAAAAATATCCAGCCTGAGTGAAACCGCAGCTCTGACAGGAAGAAGTCCCACTCACTCCCTGGACAGGAACCGCCTCACTTCCTCTCACCAAAAACTGAGCAAAGTTTTCTTCTTCGTGGTCCAGTTTCAAAGCTGAGTTCATCACATGCAGATTTAAGCACTGACCTTCTGTAGATTTGATCAGTACATGTCTCAGAACATCACAATGTGACCTGAGATCAATAAAAACAGCAGAACGTACCGATCTCCTGCAGCTGCTGCCTCCAGCCGTCGGCCTCGGGGGAGTCGGGATTGTCTGCGATTAGTTTTCTCAACGTACTTTTCAGCTCCTCCACCTTCCCTGAATGCTCAGCCAGCTCTGAGAGCAAAGCCTGAAGGACAACAATTACGAGATCAACTTTCACCAAATGGAGCCATTTAAGTTTTTTTCTAAACAGGGAAAAGCTTCTAAAAGTTTGACCTTGTTTTGTTGGGCTTGAGCGCGCACCACCTCGGGTTTGGACGGGGAAGTGGTCTGTCCCAGCGTCAGGCTTTTCTCTCGGTCGCTCAGCCAGCTCCTGAGCTCCTCCGTGTTCTGCCGGGCCTTCTGCCGCAGCTCCAGAGAGGCCTGCTGGCGGCCCAGACGCTCCTTCAGCTCGCTGCCCAGAGCGTCGTAGCGAGCGTTCACGTCTGAGACGGTCACCTGCAGCTCCGTCAGGTCTGAGAGGGAAAATATGGAAATGCAATGAGCTGGAGGAGGATTAGAAACTAATGCTAGAGGTTGAAAGAAACAAAACATGCAACAAATAAAAGCATTAATCATAAACATTAGTTCCACTAACGCTAAAGCGCTACTGAAGCGCTACACAAACACAGTATTTAGCAGAAGCTAAAGTTAAAGCATTAACTTCTATTCAAGTTATATTTGCTCTTGAGAGACTACAATGCTTGAAAAAGTGAAAAACCTTTAGATCAGAGTTCAGTGATGAGAGGAGGAGTAAACGAAACAAACAGTCCCATCTGTTCTGCTTTGGCATCACTTAGCAGGTTGAACGTCTGGAAGGAAAATGTCTTCTGCTGCTTTTGTTGATTGATTTAAGACTAAAGCAGAGATGTTTGGTCCTAGCAGATCACTGTGGCCAAGCACGGTGGTGGAGGAGTGATAATGCAGGCTTCTTTTACATATAAATTTTATAAACAGGAAAATATTGAATTATGTATTATAATGTATTGATAAAAACAACAACATTCAGAACTTCATTGCTCGCAGGAGTTTTGGATTGAAACTGAACAATGAGGTGAGAATTAAAAAAATATTTAATTGTTAAAATTCTAAAATAAAAAGTCAATAGATAAATATTTAAAAACTAGATGGCTACAATTTTGTTGCTAAATCAACCAAAACTTTTTGCAGGAACCAATCTTTATTAAATAAATAACCTGCAGTTCTGCTGAAGTATTAAGCATAAATCCATTTCCACATTTAAACCCAAACTTCCCGCTATAAACATGGAGTTTTGATTTTCTCTGTAAATGTAGTTTTTCAGTGATAAAAATGAAAATATGACTGGATTTAAAGACATAATTTAAATGTCAAACTGTTTATCGTCTTCAGCAGCTGCAGCCTTTCAACATGGCTTCAACTGGGAGGCCAAGATTTTATTCAGAAAACAGACATTTTATTCCAACATTAAAAGCTTCTGTGATCTGACAGAAACCGTTTAACAGTCAGACCAGATTTAATCTATCGGAAAAGTTCTTACATGATTTCAACATCTGCAAGTCCTGAACTGGTGCAATAAACGTCGGAGTCTTACTGAAAACGCAGATGCTTCTCTGAACTTCAGCATCTTTACTGAGTTTGAAGGAAACTAAGAAAATTTGAGGTTTGGAGTGATTTTAACCTAGTTTAAGAACCACAGCTTCAGTTTAATCTGAATTTTTGATCTACTGAAAAGCAACAGTGGCTAAAACGTCAAAGTGAAGTTGTAATGCTAAGCATGTTGTTTCCAGGGTATCTGCAGGTTTCAGCAAGTCAAATTTAAGACTTTTCAAGACCATTTCAATGCCACCTTGAATTAAATTTAAGACCAAAAACCTATAAATATGAGATGGTTGGGGGATCCTGCAGGATTACACTGAAGCATCAGAAAAATGGTGACATTTCTGGAGTCTTTTTGTGGCTCTGTGTGTTTCTCTCACTCAGATCATTTCCTGAACCTTTAACGATGTCAGGCATCGAAGGCTAACCTTCCTCCAGCCAAGCAGCCAACGACATTCATGCATGTGAAATTTTGTGCTGGTACATGTTGACGTACTGTCTGAGTGTGACTCAAACGTGAGGACAAAATGGCATACACTGGATTAAACAATCCTAACAAAACTTTAGATTTTAGTTTTTTAGTAATGAAAGTTTTATGGAAAAGTTGTTTCCCAAGTTGTCTTTTTTTCTTCAAATTATCCATGCCTGGAAAATTATAAAGCCGATCCTCTAAATGTCCCCACTTTTTCAGACACAGCTGGATTATAGTTTGTGCTGCAGACCCTGGTCTCATGCTGCAGGGAGGACCTGACCGACCTGAGGGCTCACCTTTGCAGGTGTGGATGCCGTTGACGCTGCTGGGACCGGCAGAACCGTTGATCTGAGGAACTCCTGGAGAGGAGCACAGAGGAACGCCATCAGAGAAAAACACATATTCAGTCCTGGAAGAGCAGCTTTGTTTCTAGCTCCTTCCATCTTTACCAGTTTTGGTCTGAGGAGTCGTGACGTCGATGATGAGCGACTCCAGCTCGGAACCGGTCTTGTTCAGGTCTTGGATTCTGGATCCTTGGGACTCCCAGTCATTCAGCAAGTCCTGAAAGCAGAAAGGATTTTCATCATTACTCATCCAAACATCGGTGACGCCTTGAAGCTCCTGAAACATCCCGGCTTTTTACTGCACACCTGGAGCTGCTGGACCCGCCTCTGCAGACCCTCGGTGTTGAGGTTGGCCTCCTTGGAGGGCAGCTGGTCCTGGGCCATCTGCAGCCAGCGGACCAGGGAGCCGGAGAGGCCGCGAAACTGGTGGAGCTGCTGCTCACAGGCCTGGATGGCAGCAAACCTGACAGGAAGCAGGAGACAAAGAGTTTTAGGAGGTTTTCACACCTGATAGTCCGGTAGGCTCGGTTCTACTGGAAACAAATTACATCCTGCAAGCTGCTGCTGTTCTTTGTCAAACCAACCAAACCCTTTAAGCAACCTGTTCCCCTCATCACCTGCGGGGGCGCTGCACCAAGAACCACTGAAGGAAACCACACAAAAACTTCTACAAAAGACACTGAGTGCAACTTCTTCCTTAAGGAATTGTCAGCAAATATGGAGTGGCATCAGATTTTAGGAGGATTTCTCTTTTGTCAGACATTTCTCCACTTAGTGCCAGGCTAATGTGTTTACCCAGAATGCTGTGCAGCTTCCTGCTTTTGGAGCAGTATCCAGGTTTTGGTGTTCACATCGGCATCCAAACCGCACCAGAGTTCACTGACACCAAACCCAGTTTGTAGGTGAACCAAAGTTTGATGACCCATTCACACCAAACCAAACTAAATGGACTCTAAGCCAACCAATGAGTTTGATTACAGCAGACTGACCAGGGCTGGTGTGACAACAACATTAGTTTGAATCCATCAGCTGGGAGAGCAACACAGTCAGAGCAGAAACTGTGTACATTAGCATTTCAAATAAAAGTTCTTCTTTCTCTGTAAATATGTCCTACCCAGAATTCAAATGGCAGATTTAGCTTCACCTGGTTCAAATTCTGTAAACAAAATCTGCTATTAAGCATCTTTTTACACACGATTATTAATCAGTAAATCAAAAAAAAAAAACATAATTAGATTAGCCTCTACTGTTTCTTGATGTTCAGTCAAGCAGAAAGAACTGAGTTTTATTTTCAACTGCAGATTAACCATTTGGTACAAATGATTTAAGCATTCACTAGAGGAAAGGCATCATTGCATTATAGGCAATAAATACTTATTTTTTAATTAAAATATAAAATTCAATTATCGTCAATCATCAGACTTATTAATTGATTGTCAAAATAACTAAATTAATTGTTAGCTGCAGCTCTAAATGTAGAGCTGGTTTTCCTGTAAACATGAGTAGATGAGCTCACTAAGCACCATCTCTCCCTCAGCACCACTCCAGGATTTGTTTTGTTGACTCTTTCTACAGAGTTTCTGGTAAAGTCTGGTTTATTCTAAGAAGCTCCTGTCTGAAACGGGTTTCCAAAGACATTTTTTTCCCTTTCTGTATAAGAAAAACAAACTATAAAGTGTTTTTTCAAGGCCGCGAGGCATCATTAGCACAGCCCTGACCTCTGCCTCTTTGCGTGTAATGTGTGTGAAAGTATGAGGCCGAGCGGTTCCGACCGTCTGCAGCCCAAACGGCCCTGAGAGCCTATCATTATCGCGCTGCTATTTTCTCTCCTCTGGGATCCGAGGCCGCGGGTTCCCCGGCAGGGCCGTTTACGGGACAGACAATGAGCCGTGTTCGTGGCGTCTTTATTAGCGCCGAGAATCCGTCTGCACCAACACAAACGGAGGAGCTGTGAAGCGGCATCTGGACCGCAGCATCCACGCCTCACCAGACCCGATTCTGTCCCGTTCAGCCGTCCAGCTGCTGATTCAATCACATGATGGTCTCGTAAAACGGAAATTTAATCGAATACATCTGCAGAAGACTGCTGGTATTCATAAACATCTCCCTGAGACGACGTCAGGCATGGTTGGCATGGCAACCGCTGCTTCATGGAGGCCGGAAAGCCAGAAAACAGATTTCGTTTTAAGTTTCAGACCCAATCTTCAGCCGGTTCTGGAGGATTTTTAGAATCATCCGACCCCTATTTAATGAGCTCAGCCATGTTTTTATGACTGATGCAACTAAACAAATGATTCATTTTATAAACAATTATTACTGTCTAAAATGCAATAACAGAATTTCTTTGAACCGAGTCAAACTAAAACTTGGTCATTTATTTTTAACTTTAGTGCAAAATGAATATTTATTTTGTGAAATTCTGGTTTAATTACTGAATATGTTGTTTTTCAGCAAATGTTCTTTACTTAGGTCTGAATAATTAAAGAATAAATATTGATTAATTTATTACTTAATTAGTTGACCATTATTCATCATGATTAATTTGATTCAGTCCCAGTCTACGCTTAAAAACAAAAAATTTCACCAAGTATTTCTATCTGGTTTCTAGTTAGTGAAAACTTTTAGATAAGAGCTTGTTTACAGTAAATAATTCCTTAATATTGATGAAAAAGTTCCAGATTATTTTACTTCTAACAAGACATTTCTATATGCCAGTGGAACTTGTACTTTTTCTTTTTGAGATATTTGCACTAGAAGCCAGACCAAAATTCTGGGTAATATTTTGTTTTTAGTGTTCAGCAGATGAGAGGCTGATGTGTATCTAGCGCCCTCTTGTGTATTTTTAACCTTTCATTGACGTTTTCCTCCAGCTTGGTGAACTCGTCGGTCACATCTTTGACGTTCTCCAGCAGGTTCTGGGTGTCGCTGAGCGCTCTGGACTGGCTGAGCTCGGCGCCGAGGCCGCAGAAGGATTTCAGCTGACCTGCCTCCTGCTCCAGCTCAGATTTCACCTCCTGGAACCACAACGATGAAAAAAGTCAGAACGGCGACGAAGAACAGAGCTTCTGCTGAGGAGGAGAACTCCGCTGACCTCGACGGTCTGCCTGTAGTCGTGGACGCTGCGGTCCGGCTGTCCGGCGGGACTCAGGGCCTTCAGCCTGCTCTGGGTGAAGGCCTGCAGGTCGGCGCCCAGCCTCTCGTAGCTCTCCAGCCGGGGCAGCAGCGCCTTGAGCTGGGCCTCCCGCTCCGCCTGGCTGCTCTGGGCCGCGGCGTAGCGCCGGGTCAGGTCGTCCAGGCTGCCGTGGAGGCCCGGCGCCGCGGAGGCGTCCGAGCTCTGCAGCAGCTTGGAGACGGAGTCGCGCGTCGCTTCCACGCTGCCCTGCCTGGAGAGGAGCTCCTGACGAAGTTTCTGGGGAAAAAGAGAAGAAAAACAACAACGAAGAAATTAAATACCAGAGAAAAATTATAAATGTAAAACATTCTGCAATGAAAAGAGCGAAGAACAGCTTCATCTGCTAAATGGATGGATGGATGACGCTATCCAGTAAATTTCAGTACAAAGTAAATTTCTTCATGTACATCCAGCAGAAAGTTTTATTGTGAAGGGTCAAACATGACTTCCTGAGTTTGTTACAGGCAAAAATCATCAGAAATCTTCATATTTCTGAATTTAAGCGTCATAAAAACTGAAACGTGGCCTCCTCCCCATCGGTTTTTAACCCCCTCAGCTCCTACCTGGTTCTGGGTCAGTGCGTCCTGCACGGCCTGGGCGGTGGGCTGGACCGGTCCGGGGTTCAGAACCAGCTGGTCCAACCAGCCCAGCAGGCCCTTCAGGCCCTCCTGGACGCTGACGGACTGGGCCACGGCCGTCTGCAGCTGCTCGGCCCGCTCCGACACCGACGCAGACAGGCTGCCGAACCGCTTCTCCAACCCGTCTGCGAGGTAAAGAGACGCTTAGCCACTCAATTCAAAGAAGAAGAAGAATAAGAATAAGAAGAAGAAGAGAGTCCGTCGGGAAGATGGCGTCACCTGCAGCGCAGAGGATGTCAACGGCTTTCAAAGACGGAGATTCGTCGGTGCTGACCAGATCTCTTCCTGCTCGCTTCACCTTCTCCAGCTGGACCGAGCGCTCGGCCAGCTCGTCCTGCACCAGCTGCACACACACACACACACACACACCCACCCACCAGTGAAACTAGTACTTTTTCATTAATATTAAGGAATTATTTACTTAAGCTCCTGTATTTTGCTGAAAATGTTTTTTTTTTTTCACATTGGCTGTTATAACTGCGCTGACTGAATGTCATCAATAACTTCTGGGACGATTTATCGTCCAGCAGAATTTGTTATGACAGGCTGATGAACGATGAGTGAATGAAAAGCTGCGATGTTGATGTCCTGGAGGAACTGCTTCCTGCTCTGTGAAGCCATCGTTCTGTACCTGAACCTGCCGCAGGGCGTTCTGGAGGTTCTGCGGGTCCGTGTCTCCGCTGGACTTGGCTATGCTTTGGTTTTGCTCGTGAGCGCTGAGCCAGGAATGAATGGACACCACCTCGTCCTGGTACTGCTGGTACCGCTCCAACAGGCCGCCCAACCGGCCGCCCAGCTCTGTCGACTGAACCAAAAGTTTTCATTCAAACGGAGTCAGAAAAACATGAGCCAGAAGCAGAACATGGCACGGCGCGGCGCCTCACCTTGGTGTGCAGCGTCGTGTATCTGTGGTTGGCGTCCTGCAGCTTGTCGGAGACGAGCCGCCTGATGCCGTCCAGAGCCGGGTCAGAACCTCCAGCTTGCTCCAGAGCGCCCTGAACAGAGTCCAGAACCTTCTGGCCCGAGATGGAGACGAAGCGAAGGTCGGCCTTGTGGCAGATGACATCCTCACCCAGCTGGGAAGAAACACATTTACAGCAAACGACACGTTGAATTTATCTCAAAGACGACATTTAAAGGTTCGTACACCTGAAAGGTCATTTTATGTTTTAATGTCTCTCTTACCCAACTGAACAAAACACCAAAATAACAAAACAAAAAAAAAAAAACTATTTCAATAACGTTAACATTTAAAAGATAAGCTGACTTTAATTCATAATAAATATTAATTTCACTGAAACAAAACACAAATAAATAATGTTAAGATAAATGACCTTCGTGCTCAAACACAATATACAAAGTGGAAAATAAAAAACTTTCCAAACCTTGAAAACGCTTAATTGAAATTCAAAGATTTAAGGATTTCAAGCATCAGTACGAATCCTGAATTAGCAAAAGTCTGGGGATCAGTGTGGGAAAAATGTGATTTAACGAAAACACAAACATGTCAATTTGGAGGCATTTTAGGAAAATAATCCCAAACTATTTGGCAGCAGATGGAGAACTCTGATAGCTTATCGGAGGTTTAATGCATGATTAACGGGGAAAACATCCCGGCTAAGTGCTGCTAATCGGAGCTACTTCTCAGAAACCAGCAGCCTTTCTGGACATTTCTGACTCATTTTCAGGAAACAGAGCGAAGTTTATAATCTCAAACCTGAGAAAGTTTAGTGTTAAATCCGTCTCATAAACATTTAAAGCGTTACGATGGAGTGAAATCTGTTTGAGGAGTTTCTGCTGCACCTTTCTGTGTTCCTCCAGCCGGTCCTTCAGGCCCTGCGCGTCGGTTTCTCCTTCCCCCAAAGAACGCAGCTCCTGTTCACTTAGTTCCAGCCAGGAGCCCAGGTTTCCGTGTTCCTGGAGGAATTTGGTCAGCTCGTCCTGCAGAGCCTCAGATTTCCTCAGACGCTCCTAAAACCAAAAATATTAAATATAATACAAGACTTAAATCAGCAGAATAGGATGAGTACATCTATGGGAACGCAGGAGAGAAAGAAAGTAATATCAGTAAAAAATTCACTTAAATCTGTTTTTAAAAAAGATATGTCAATAAATTGCATACAAATTAATTTTTATTTTTCTATCTAACTTTTGTAGATTGATAGTTTGAAACAAAAATGTAAAAAGGATGAAAAGTTTCTTCAAAAAAAAGAAACCTAAATAATATTAAAATAAAAACTATAAATAAAAAACAAATTAATGTCCGTATAGAGTAAATTAAATGTTTTTACTTAAACTATCAGCTAATTTAATTCTTTCCTTCTTTCCCAAAATAACATTTTTATTTTTATTCATTTGTAACCTAAAACAATTTTAATATCTATAACAAAATAAAAAATATCAGTAACAATCAGAAAAAATACATTATAATTTATATTTAATTATATGTATTATCACTGTAAATAATAAATGAATAAAAATAATATTAGTAAATACATTAAAAATAATAAAAATAATCAGGTTTGAGACATAAACGTATACGATTAGCTCAAACAAATATGTAAATATGTCAAACATGTTGTTTAGATGTATATTTTTTCCCTTCTGACCCCATGATTAATGGTCCAAACATAAACAACAAGGTAAATCAGGAGGTGAATTGAGAGCACAGGCATTTTTTTAATGAAAAGATGATAAATGTATTTTTTATACCTGACAGCTGTGCAGCCTGTCCTGGTGCTGGGCCTGCAGCCGGTCCAGGGCGGCCCGGAGCCGCTGCTTCTCCTCGGGGGGAACCGTGGAGTCGGGCTGCTCCAGCAGGGAGCGAGCTGATTGGCTGATCTGCAGCAGCTGCGCCTGCTGAGCCTGGAGCTGCTGCAGCTCCGACTGCGAGCGGACAGTCGAGTTTCACCGGTTAAAACTGTGACATTACTGAAAATACCAAACTAACAGTAAAAGTTCAGGAATCAACCTGCAGCATCTCTGTGTGCGACTCCACAGCGCCCTCCGGTGGTGAAACGGAAGAGTCCGGCACATCCTGCGGCGCTGCGATCCGGTCCAGTTGGCTGAAGGAGGAGAGCAGGGAGTCGATCTGGCTTTGGGTTTCCTGGAGCTCCTCCACCGCTTTCGCCTGCAGACCAGAAGGAAAGACTGAACACCAGAATACACTGCAAAAACACAGATCTTACCAAGTGTTTTAGTCTAGTTTCTACTGGAAATAATTTACTACACTTAAAATAAAACTAACTTATGACAAGACATTTTTTAAAGCTGTAAGTGAATAATCTATCAGACAAACTAGAACTTTTTCCATCAATATTAGTTAATTATTGACTCAAAACAAGCTCCTGTTTCTTGCTAGTTCTGTCTTATTTCAAGTGAACTATGAGATATTTTCACTCCACAGATACTTGGTGAGATTTTCTGTTTTTGCAGCGTAAACGATTAAATGATTAATCGTGATTAATCAATGAAATAATCGTCAACTGCTTAAGTAATCAATTAGTTAACCGGAGTATACAAACTAAGTAAAAGTCATTACGAAAGTTTTACAAATCAAAACTTTTATTTTGAAAACTAAAACTTTTAGTTTTAGTGCTTAGTTTATTGTTCAACAATAAACTAAGCATTGACTATTTTTTAATCATTCATTATTTAAATAAAACAAAGTATTTAGGAAAACCTGTATGAAATGTACATAAACAACTTTGTCTCAAAATATGTTCATTACTTGTAAGTTAGTTTTGTCATATTTCAGGTGTACTAAGATATTTGCACTATAAATTGCATAAATATTTGGTAAAATCTTGTCTTTTGCAGTGCAGCATCATCCTGGATGTTCGGACTCGGCTCTCACCCTCTGCGTGTTCTGCTGTACGGTCGTACTGATGGCGTCGTCGAGTTCTGACAGCGACGTGTTGGTCGAGTCCGTCAGGGCGGCGTACTGCTCCTTCAGTCTTTCCAGCGCCACCTGGAGGTTCTTCTTCTCCTCTGCACTCAGACTGTCTCCTTTCTCTGCCAGAAACTCCTCCACCGACCGGATGGCCTGAGCCACGCCGTCGGCTTTCGCCTGCAGGTCCCTCTGCACCTCCTGGAGCCAGGAAGGAAATCAAACGAGGACTAAAACGATTAATCGTTAACTGGAATATACAGATTTTATTTTGAAATGTCTCTTTCACACAGATATGACTGGTCCAAGAACAAAACACTAATTTAACAAAGGAAATCCCACATTTTTAATAACTTTGTTCATGTATGAAATATAATTCAATATTTCTTATAATTGAGGCAGTAAGAATAATAAATATTTGTCACATTGAAACATTATAAATAAATCTTGTCAAGGTAACTGGGCTTCATCAAGTTAAATGTTTAAACACAAAATGGAAAGAAAGTTTCGCAAAATGTTGTTGCTAAGTTTTCTGACATTTTGCAAATATAAATGAATTAGTTATTCTAAATTACTTAAACAAGAAAAGTTTAGTCTGATGTAACTTCAATCAGTGAGAAATAAAATTTCTATTTATGAGATGAATGAAAATGTTTGGTTTCAATATAACTAATGTTTTCCAAATTTAATCTTAGATTTCACTTTATTACAAAACTGTGCATTTTTAATTAGTATAAAGCACTTTAAAGAATGTCAGTGTGAGCTGTCATTCTTTACCTTCAGCTTTGTCTGCCTCTCTTGCAGGGCGCTGACGTCACCTGACTCCGGTCCAGCCCTCTGATTGGCCAGCAGGCCTGCGGCTCCGGCCAACCACGCGTTGAGGCCCTCCAGTGTCCGAGAGCACTCTGCTTTCTGCTGCTGCACCACCTGAGAGAGACGAGGCAACAGAGAACCACACATTAAACAATGAGGAATCCGACATCATCAACCTGACCTGCAGAGGGCGACAAAAGCATTTTGAACGTTTCCTCACTGATTCTGGCATTTGCAGTTAAACAGAACTCATGAAGTGCACACTTGGCCAAGCTTTGAGCAGATTGTGTCCAGAAATCACTCACACACACGCAGACTTAAAAACACTCAACACAAAGAGAAATCAAACATGTATTTGTTTGTTTGCCGTTTTTCCTCCTCTTCCTCTGGGTTCAGAGTGAGACAGGAGGAAGAACAGTGAAGCGCCGTAGCCAGAAAGACGTTTTTTGTATAGTCGTTACCGCGGTGATGCAAGCGATTTCTTCTGTGGCGATCTGGAAGAGCAATGCAAACAGGTTAATACAACACACTTCACAACAGTCGTGCAAGGAAGGAAAAACACAGAGTGAGCAGCGGCAGCGTCGGGGTTTAGAGGAGCAGGGTTGTGTAGAGAACGGCTTCTGGAGCCAAAACTTGATCCTTTTCTTACAGTTTCTTACCAAAATGACTTCATTTCATTCAGGTTTACAAACATTTGGATTTGCACACTCCTGTTAAGGTCTTTCAGGTTTAATGTCCGGACTTTGACTAGGCCAGAGCTCTGCAGCGTGGAACTTTGGTCCTTCATTCAGATGAAGCTTTGCTAACCTGCCATCAGGTTTTTAGAGAGAAGAGACTTTTTAATTCCTCCCTTCCAAACATCCGAACTGGTCCAGAGCTTTTTTTTTTATTGTTCTGACATGACCTTTAACCTTTAAATCCCCTGAGCTAAAAGTTTACAAATTTCTCTCTATAAAGTGTCAAAATAGTTTGGAAATTACAACCAGCAACTGTTGCTCTCTTACATCATTGGTGATTCAATTTATGAGGCCCTTTAGAGTCGAGGGCCACATAAAAAGCTTTGCTGGCCCTGATTTGGCCCCCAGACCTCGAGTTTGACATGTTCTAGAGAATATAATCAACAAGTACTTTTATTTTCAATAATTTAGGTATTTTTAAAAGCAGATACTTATTTTTACTCAAGTTAAAATGTTGATGTGGTACTTTTACTAGAGTACATTTTTGTTGTTTATTTGTACTTTTACTTAAGTATTTATGCATTTTCTCCACCTCTGGTAAGATATTAAGGGTTCATAAGTTCTCCACACAACCGTTAAAACAAAATAATCCTTCAGGTTTTGATGGTTTGTAAAGGGACTAAATGGAGGTTAGTGGGTAAAAAATGAAGTCTGAAAGCTTGTTCAGAGTTAAATGCAGGTGAAAGCGAGGAGAGCAACAACTGAATCCCATTCATTTCCTTCCAAACCTCTCTCTCCCTCGCTTTTTTCCTTTCTCTGTCCTCCTCCTCTTCCTCCCTGCGCCTCTCTCGGCGCCGCCTCTCCTCCTCCTCCCTGCCGCGCTGAGCGGTCAGAGCGCCGGCCCAGGCCTCGGCTCGGCCTGACGTGTGGTGGAAGGCCGTCTGCAGCTGCTGCAGCTGCTCCAGGAGCCGCCTGCTCTGCTCGGGGGCCAGGTCCTGAGCACGCTCAGAGATGAAGAGCTGGATGTCGGAGACCAGGCTGCTGACTTCCACGGAGCAAGTCGACAGCGAAGACTGGAGTTCCTTCAGGTGGAGAGAAAGGAAAACCTCAGGGCTCGTTACCAGAAAAGAGCAAAACACAGTTCAGCAACATCTCTCACATCGAAGAACATGTTAGCCTTTTAAAAAATGTCTACGAATCACCTTGAGGCATGTTACCTGTCAGATTCTTAACTGGGACGAGATCTGGGCCACTAACACACTGAAGCTGTTGTGGTCGTAAAACCTTTCTTGATTAAGTTTGGTTTTGTAAACAGGAGCCCTCAACAAACTTACTAATCCTGATGTTTTCCTGCTTCTAGCTAATGTTACCCCAAATCAGAGAATCTGAGATAATCACTACAAATATATCAGCTGAAAGAATAAACATCGTAAACATTAAATACACACAATCTAAGCACTGTTACATTTAACTCAGGGGGGAAAAATGATGGTGGAAGCAGTTGGTTTTTTCCCGTCATACCGTCAGTCCCAGAAACGACACAAAGAAAACCTTGCAGAAGCGCATGCAGGGTCAGTGCAGGAGGGTTAAGTCACACAGACGTTTGGACTAAATTAGGCAATAAAGTTTGTCCAAAAATATTGATATTTTGATACTGAAAATGCTTTTTGAAACTGAACAATAATTTAGAAACCTGAGGAAATTCTTGAAAATGGAAAAAAAAAATTATTGAAAATTTAACATTTTCAAATTTCAAATCTTTTTTTGTTTCAAAAAATGATTAAAAACAAATTACATTTCTAAATTGAAAACAGTTCTTGAAACAGGTTTGAATATCTGAAGTTGTAAAAAAGATTTGAAACTGAAAGTTCAAAATGTCTTTTTAGATTAAAGTTTTTCTTCAGTTTCAAATCTTTTGTTTTTCATTTTGAATTTTTTTAATGGCATCAATTTATCTCCATATATTGCATGTTAGTATGAGATCACCTTGCAGAGATCCAGCTGCTGTGTGAGCCCAGCCTGGGTCCCCTCCTTCCCCGCTGTGTCTCCGTCCATCTGAGCCTCTGTCTCACTCAACCTGGACAGCAGCCTGTCCACACGTTGTCCCAAACATTTCTGCTCAGCTGCCACCGCATCCTGAAAGAGTTCAAACCAACATCTGAGCCATCCAGTCTCTGCTGCCGCTTCCATCCGCTGTTTTCTGGATGTCTTACCTTGCATGAGTCTCTGTGGTCCCGCAGACTTTGCAGGACGCTCTCGGAGAGCAACCGAGCCGCTTCGTAAGCTCGGGCTAAGCTCCGCCCATCTTTCTCTAAGGCCAGCAGCAGCTGCGGAGGAACGTCGGTCGGTCTGGGCTCTAACAGTCGCTCTGCAGCTTCAACTTCTTTGCTTATCTCAGGCTCCAAGTTGGAGAGTTCAAGGTCCAACGTCTGACAAGAGGATTAGAAAAGGAAAACAAACGTTTGATTGATTTTGTTGGGTTTTAATCCATAAACTGCTTGTCTAACTATGGGAACCAAGCAAAATATTTTACCTCAGTCCGGTTGATGATGCCGTCCAACGTGATGAGGCTGCGGCCCACCGACTGCTGCTGCTGCTGCTGCTGTTTCAGTCGGACTTCAACGTGTCGGACCATGGAGAGCAGCGCTATGATTCGCTGGTCATGTTCAAGACATTCCTGACGCAATAATGATGACTGCAGGGAGACAAAGTTTTCATTTTTACATCCAAAGAGTAACATATATTTATATCTGCAGTCACATCTAAACAGAGCATCATCGTACCTTGCTTCCTGTGGACGGTGCTTCCTCTTTGGTCGACAGAGTTTCTTGATTCTTGGAAACTTTTTCTTCGTCTTCTAGGGTCTCATTGCTCAGATCCACCTCAGTCACTTTTATAGATTCAGATTTAATTGAAGTATCTTCTTTAGATAAAGCAGCAGTTTCTGGAGAATCCAGATGTTGCTGCAGGTTTGTTAAAGATTCAGAAACATCGGAGCTTTCAGCTGCAGGTGGCTGCAGGGTTTCCTTCTTTTGGCTTTTCTCAGAATGTGGGTCAAGAGCAGCAGGTTGAGCCAAGGACTCTCTCTCCTGTTTGCTAGAAACCTCCTGAGATAACTCTGTCAAGTCGCTCTGGTCTAAGTGTAATCCTGTAGCTCGTTCGATCTGACTTTTTTGGAGACTTTTGACTCCTTCAGGGTGTTTCTGATTGACTTTACCAACATCTGATGGTCTAGCAGGGTCACCGACTGACTGACCATCAGTATCAAGGCTCACAGTTAAATCTTTAGACAATAATCTGCTTTCTGGTTGCTTTGCATCAGATCCTGAGGTTATTTTTAGATCTTTTAGGTCAGAATCCATTTTTCCATCGGAGGTCATTTTCTCCAGCTCCGACTGATCTTCAGCTGGTTTTTCACTCTTTGGCTCCTTAGTAGTTAGACCCTTTGAATGATCATCATCAGTGCTCACCTTTAGGTTTTCAGTCAAAACTCTGCTTTCTGTTGGTTGCTTTGCACCAGATTTTGTGATAGTTTTCATGTCTTTTAGGTCAGAATCTCCTTTTCCTTTGGAGGTGATCTTCTCCAGCTCAGGCTGATCCTCAGCTGGTTTTTCACTCTTTGGCTCCTTGCTAGCTGCACCAACTGACTGACCATCATCAGTGCTGACATTCACATCCTCAGTCAACATTGTGCCATTTGACTCCAGTTCTGCAGCTGATTTCGTCATATATTTTGGATCTATCAGATCTGACAGTAACTTCTCCACGTCAGGCTGATGTTTAGTTAGCATCTTTGGCTCCTTGGTAGCTGCACCAACTGACTGATCATCAGTATCAAAGCTCACCTTTAGGTCTTCAGATAAAATTCTGCTTTCCGGCTGTTGCTTTACATCAGATTTTGAGGTAATTTTCATACCTTTCAGGTCAGAACCCATTTTCTCATCTGGTTTTAGCTTCTCCACCTCTGGCTGATCGTCTCGACTCTTTGACTTCTTGGTAGTTGGAACAATAGACTGATAATTAATATCCTTCAAGTCTTCAGTCAAAACTATGCTGTCCAATTCTGGTTCTGCAGCTGATTTTGTTGCAGATTTTGGATCTTTCAGGTGTGAAGTTGCCTTCTCCATTTCAGGCTGATCTTCAGATGGTTTCAAACTTCCAGGCTTCATGGTAGCTGCACCAACTGACTGATCATCAGTGCTCACCTTCACATTTTCAGTCAAAACTTTTCCATCCGGTTCTGGTCCTGCAGCTGAAATTGTTGTACATTCTGGATCTTTCAAATGTGAAGTTACCATCTTCATCTCGCTTGGTTTTAGACTCTTTGTCTTATTGGTAGCTGCACCAGTTGACCGATCATCAGTATCAGTGTTCACATTTAGGTCTTCAGACAAAATTCTGCTTTCTGGCTGTTGACTTGCACCAGATTTTGAGATAATTTTTGTACCTTTCAGGCCAGAAGCCATTTTCCCATCTGGTTTTACCTTCCTCACCTCAGGTTGATCTTCAGTTGGTTTTTCATCCTTTGTCTCCTTTGTAACTGACTCATAATTATCAGTGCTCATCTTGACATCTTCCGTAAAAACTTTTCTGTCAGACCTCGATTCAGTAGGTGATTTTGTTGTACATTTTGGATCTTCAACATCTGGCAGTGCCTTCTCCATTTCAGGCTGATCTTTGGTTGGTTTTAGACTCTCTGGTTTTTTGGTAGTTGTACCAACTGAATGATCATCAGTGTCAGTGCTCAACTTCCCGGCTTCAGACAAAATTCTGCTTTCTGGCTGTTGCTTTGCATCAGATTTTGAGATCATTTTTGTATCTTTCAGGCCAGAAGCCATTTTCCCATCTGGTTTTACCTTCTCCAATTCAGGCTGATATTTGGTTGGTTTTAGACTCTTTGATTTCTTGGTAGATATTCCAGCTGCCTGGTCATCATCAGTGCTCACCTTCAAGTATTCCTTCAAAACTGTGCCGTCTGACTCTGGTGCAGGAGGAGATTTTGTGGCGCATGTTGGATCTTTCAGATCTGTGGGTGCCTTCTCCATCTCAGCTTTATCTCCAGTTGGTTTTAGCTTTTTGCTCCTCTTGCTTCTCTTACTTTTTGAGACTGTTGGAAGAATCTCAACATCTTTCTGCTTAGCCCTGATGTCTTCATTTGAAGACGTTCCCAGCATCTCTTGAACTGCAGGAATATCTCCAGGTGTTCTCTGCAGCTCCACAGTGTCCTTTTTGACAGTTACTTGGTCTTTACGGTCTTTCTGTAGAGCAGAGCTGCTCTTGTCAGCATCACCTTCTTCACTGTTAGTTTCTGTCTTCTTATCACCCGTTTTACTTTGCTTCTTCTTCCTCAGCACCTCCAGCTCCTGGGCTGCCTGTTTTTCACTCACTCCCTTCTCAAACACTTTCTTAAGGATGCTCTCTTTAGCTTTCAGAATCAAGGCCACTTTTTCATCCTCTTTAAGACTTGATTTTGTCAGAGATTCTGCTTCTATGCTCTTCTGCACCTCTGGCACTTCCAGTTGTTTAGCAATCAAAGTCTTCTCCATAGATTCCTTTTTTATCTCTTCCTGCTTAGAAACCTCTTGTGACGACATTAGTAACATTGTTTTAGCTTCAACTTCCTCCATCTCAGTGTTTGGTTTAAGAGAAACTTCTTCCTGCTCTATCGCTGATTCCTCTTCCTCTACCTTCATGTAAACCTTCTCTGGAGTTCTACCTAATATTGTCCTGGTTGCATCTTCCTCCATCTCAGTGTTTGGTTCAAGAAGAACCTCTTCCTGCTCTTGATCTACCAAAACATTTTCAGTCTCAACTTTCTCTTCAGTCCTTTCCATTCTCTCGTCAGAGGAAGGGTCAGTAGCAGTTGGAAGGTAGGAGTCTGACTTCTGCACATTTGCATCCAATGTGATTTCTTCTGTGGCAACAGGAGCAACCTGTGGGGTCTCTTTGGTTTCTGGACTGGTTCGATGAGTTTGAAGATCATGTTTCATCTCTGGAAGATGAGTTTCAGTTTCTACTTCTTTCCCTCTTGCCTTCTTTTTACTCTTCCTCTTCGTTTTGCTTTTGTTGTCTGACTCTTTACTTGTAGAAGAGAACTGATCTGACTGCTCCACATCAGTGCTGCTTTTGGTCTGCAAAGATTTAAGGTCCTCATTCCCTGCTGGAAATCCTGGGAAGCATCTGGGATCTTTGGTTTCTCTGTTGACTATAATTTCTTCTGACTTCACATCTTCAGACCCACGATGGACCATTACTGTGCTCTCAGTGGGTCCACCTTCCATGTACTCATGTTTTTCTGGCTCCTGGCCATCTTCTTTTTGCACCTCTTCACTATGATCAATCATCACCTGAGTGGATTCTTTTACAGAACCTCTGGTTAAGTTCTCCCCTTGTTTACCCTCAGTCTCCATTTGTTCACTCGGTTCTTGTTGATGGCGATTATCCACTTTTTGTGGCAGGATCTCTTGAATGGCTTGCTGGATTCTTTTTTCAACATTAGATGCAAACTTGGATAACAGATCCATTGACTGTTCAGGCTCCATTTCTGCTACCATCTCATCTTCAGGATGTAACAGTGACTGATCTGAAATTTCACTTCTGAACGTCTCGTCATAACTGTACGTAACTTCTAAACCTCTAACAGAAGATGGAGATCCTGAGGACATCCTAGTGTTTGCAGACATGTTTGCTGGTGTGTCAATTCTTGGCCCAGTAGCTATAACAGTTGTAAAATGATCATCTGGAAAGTTTTCCTTTAGCGTCTCCTGGATCTCCAAAGCCAGGTCTCTCGTCAACAGCTGGGAAGTGATGGCATCACTAAGATCTGACACTCGCTGTCCAGTTGCTGGATCAACCAAACCTCCTTTGACAAACTGGTTGGTGGCTATTTCTTTGACCATATCACCACTTACTAAACCTCTGGCAGCGGCTTCAGGCAGTGGGAGCCTCTCTCCAGTGTAGATATCAATGATCCCACCAGTGTCTGCCTGGCTTTGGAGCAACCTTACAGCTGGAACTGGATCAACCCACTTCAAAGCAACAGCCTCAGGGAGGGTCAGGGTCTCCAAGGATTGCTTATCCTGAACACCTTGGAAGGGCTTCACCTCCAAGAAGCGTTTGCCTGTTTCAATATCAATCTTACCCTGACTCACAAGTTCTGAATAAGGCACAATCTGTGCAGTTTTCGGGTCAATTGTTCCCTGCGTTACCACCGGAGAAGCCATGACTTCAGTGGCCATCTTGTCATCTAGAAGACCCTTCGACACAGCTTCTGTCAGTGTCAGCCTAACTCCACTGTCAGGGTCCAAAACAGCTCCAGTTGTTGCCTGGAAAGCAATTGCTTCTGGTTTGGTTGAGGCACTGATTTTTCCTCGATAGATCCATTCTAGTTCCTCAAGCCCCGGAGCTATGGACCGATCCACAAGTCCTCTATCTACAGCATCAGAGACAGAGAGTCTCATTCCTGAAGCATGGTGGATTATGCCACCTTCAGCCACCTGTCTCGCCAACACCTGATAGGCCTCATCAGATCTAATTAACCCTTTCTTAATTGCTTGTTCTAAAGGAACTGTAGACTTGGATTCAGGGTCGACAACACCCTCCATCTGCAGCTGTAAACTTGCCTTTCTGAGGCTGGTTGCAGAGTCTGTATCCTTTCCTTTGAAAGCCTTTTCAAGAGCAATCAGTTCCTCTCTTTGGTCTTCTTCAATTAGACCCAGGTTTGCTGCTAAAGTGACAGAGACTTTCTTATCCCTGCGTAAGTCGACAATCCCTCCAGATGCAACCTGGGCTTCTAGGAGTCGAGCAGCAGTGTTAGGATCAATGAGCCCAGCCTGAGCTGCATCCCTCACCCCACAGATCTGGCCTTTCTCGATGTCCACAACACCGGCAAGGGTTTTATCTGACTTCAGGACACCCCACATAAGATCTTCATCTAGTAAGCCCTCCTGCATCACTTCCTCCAAGCTCAGCGACTCCCCACTGGTGGCATCTAGGAATCCCCCAAACAGGCCTGCCTGAGCCATCAATTTAACTGCTGTATGACCAGGAAGGACACCTTGAGCTACTGCTTCATCTGGCAGCAGCTTCTCTCCATCCTCTGTCATCAGACCTCCCTGTTTGAGCTCCAGGACCAATCTCTCCAACTCGGCATTCTCCTCTCGCTCCTCCATCAATGGCTCATCCACCGCAGTCTTTGATCCCTTGAAGTCAACGTCTGTTTCAGACACACTTGCTAAATCGGTTGGAGAACTTTTTGTACCTTTGAGTTCTTGAGCCTCTCTCAGATTTATCTCCTTACTTTCTTTTACTTTTGGAATTCGTTCCTGCTGTGTGCCACTTTTAATGCCTTCCTCCAATTCAAAAGATGTTTTTGTGATTGTATCTTTGACCTCTAGATGTTGAGGAATGGTTTCACCTACAGCATTGGCTTTGTGTTTTATTACATCTTGATAGTTCCATGAAATCATTTCACTTTGCAAACTGGACTCTTCTTCTTTTTCTTTATGTACGTTTGTGTAAACAGAAGGTTCAGGATCAGAAAGGCCATATCTGCCTATGGTTTCAGGTAACTTCGGTGGTAATCTGATGTCCTTTCCACCGTCACTTATATTCACCATTTCAATGTTATCTATTGAAGTTTCCAGATCAGAGCTGTGTTCTGCTTCATTTGTCATTCTAACATTTTCCCCACTGCCCAATGTCTGCAGTTTATCTCCAACCAACTTGTTTAATGACTCGGCTTCACTCGATTCTCCTGCAGCCAAACAAGAGCCTTTAACTAGAAGCACCAGATCTTGGTCAAGGAGCACAAGCCTTTTTCCAGAATGTGCATCCACATAGCTGTGAGTCATGAGGTGAAAGAAAAGCTTGTCTTTGGCTTGAACTTCAGGATCGACCCTATTGTTTGGTGAAGCTTCCCACATGAAGCCTGTAGAAGACGATGGAGGCGGAGAAGAGGAGCTGGTCGATCCCCAGCTCAGGCGGTTTAGAGATGGAGTACCAGACTGGGTCATGTTGTAGAGAACGTCTGGTATATGAATGTCTCGGAGACATTTTGCAACATCAGGTTCAAGGTCTTCTTCTGTAGCTTGATTAAGGGGTAACACTTTGAGGGTTTCTGCACTGTACAGCCCTCCAATGGCATGTCTCTGTCTTAAAATGTTTCTTGCTAGATCACCTGATATCAGCCCTTGTTGAAGAGCCTCTGCAATGGGCATCAGCTCTCCAGATTCAGGCCAAAGGAGTCCTGTGAAAGTCCAAAGAGACTCAAGAACCAACAGAGCCAAACGAGGGGAGAGAAGGTCCCTGTGAATGCTCTCCTCTAAATCCAGGCGTTGCCCACTGAGCGGGTCAAGAATCCCCCCATTCTGCAGCTGTCGTGCTAACATGGCACAAGCTAAATCCTGGTCCATAAGCCCATGACGAAGAGCCTCACCAATTGTCAGCCGGTGGCTAGAACGTGGGTCACTGATGCCACCGGCGAACAGCTGGGCCTCAAGAAGCCTCACGGTAACCGCCCGGTCGATCAGTCCCTCCTGGACGGCGCGAAAGATGCCAACTTTTCTACCAGATCGGAGGCAAACGGTTCCTCCAGGCTGCTGTTTGACAGGAAGGAGGAGGAGACCTGAGTCATCATCAGGAATACAACGCAGCTTCAGCTCTTCTATGTTGACCTTTTCAGCTGTGTTTGGATCGAGCAACTCTTTGTGTTGAATTCTAGAGTAAAGCTTGTTTAAGATCCTGGAAGGCAAAACTCTCATATCCTCTGCTTGTTCCAAACTCATGATTTTCCCACATGAGTCTCTGAGTCCACCACTGTTCATCTGAAATTCAAGTATACGAAGTCCAACCTCTTCTGTGATCAACCCTGACTCCATGGCTGCAGCTACGGGCAAAAGCTTTTGGTCACCCACAGACTGCTTTATCAACTCCATGGCACTCTCAAGTTCAGCTAGTGACTGACAGGTGTGAGCATCAATGAGGCCTTCAGTTAGACCATGATCCAATGAATAAACCCCCGTTGCATCTGGTCGAACGAGTCCACCCGCGACCAGCTGGGCCTCCAGCAGAACACTGCAGGTGTCCTGGTCGATGAGACCCCGTTGGGCTGCCTGAAACACCGAGAAGGTTTCCACGGTGCCCAGGTCGATCACGCCTCCAATGGCAGCTCGGTTCTGAAAAAGGACGGAAACAAATATCCAGTTCAGACTGATTTAAATAATACTATTACTACTACTATTCTGTTATTGTGTTATAATATACTAGTTAGATATAAGGAAATAAGAAAAAAAGACCCACCACCACTTGCCACAAATTCTGTGTATTAAACAGTTTAGCTGGAACTTAATCTAAACCGAGCGCAAAGCATGCAAGAAGCAAACTGTACCAAGACATGCAGAAAAAGCTCTAGAGTGGCTTTACATATAAGCAATTGTGGGTATGAAGGGCATTAATTTTGGACTTTAATGAGTTATTTAAACACTCTCTCACACACAAAGAGCAGTGTGCCAGGTGTATCTTCTGAACAATGGGGTGTATTTAATTCAATTCAATTTAAGGATTTAAAGACAAACTTAATGCAACATTCAAGCCCACAATGAGGAGAAGTTAAAGTCAGAGTGGAAATGCAAAAGTACAGAAGAAAGGAAGAGACCAAATCAGAGGAAGAGGAAGAACAAAAGCTGTTTAAATTAACAGGCACCGGTAAGAGAGAAAGCGAGCGCTACTTACCGTCTGGGCTCGTCTCGGTGCGGCTCGGCAGAGCGAGGCGCGACAGCTGACAAGCTGATTGTTAGCTTTCTGCATGTTAGCTCCTCCACACTGACATGACCCTGCATTCTTCTGATCTTTTAAACACTAAGCTTAGACAGATACCTGGAGAACGATAAAGCTAAAAAAACATCTGGCCTTGATTGCTCCCTGAACTGATTCCTAAAAACTCTCCTCAGTTTCCATTTCTCTCTCTGATCCTCGGCTTGTGATGTCCACATTTCTCCTCTGGCAGCTGTTAGTGAGTTTCAAGCACAAACGCTGGTTTAAAGTTTCACACATTAATAAAATGCATTAGAAGAAACATAAAATGCCATTCTCACACACACACACACACTTGTGATCTGGACACAACATGCTCAAATGGTGAGGTGAGTATTTTTGTTGGTGCCTTGCACAGCTGGCCTTCAGGTGCACTGACTCACTGCAAGAAATTTCCTTAAAAATCACCCAGGAACTAAATTCTCAAACACATTTGATTCGATTGTGATTGATGCATCAAACTGCTAACAGGAGACAAACACTTAATAGATTTAAACACATACATGGATAAACGTAAACGGGAAGCTTTGACTTGTAAGAACTTTTCTTAAAAATTTCAAGAAACTTTCTTAAAAATCAACAGGAAGTACATCATCAAACATATTCAAACTGATTATGACTGATGCAACAAACTGCAAACACCAGGAGACGAACATTTTCACAGATTTAAACGAATACACGGATAGACATAAGCAGGAAGCTTTGACTTTATGCTGCGGTGTTTCAGGTTTTCTACTGTGCAGCAACAGAAATGAGGGTGAAGGTGTTTCTACTCTGATGCATCAACGTTCTAATGATGCATCACTCTGCTGCTTTTACTCTGCAAAAACAAAATATCACCAAGTATGTTTGTCTAGTTCGTAGTGCAAATATCTTACATTTGAAATCAGACAAAACTAACTTACAAATAACTTTTCATTAGGATATATGAGCTTGTTTTAAGTCATTAATTCCTTAGTATTGATAGAAAAGTACTAGTTTTTAAAATAGTGCTTTTGATGAAGAGTAACTTTTGATCAAAAGGACTAGTTCTGAAGAAAACTGGTAAACTAATACTTTTCTACTAGAAACTTCTATTAGTTTCAAAACTAGAAATGTACTAATTTGATAATTTCTTTTAATCAAAATACTTTGAAGCAGTTTTATAAAATACTTTATCAAACTGCTTTCATAAAGTAGCTCAAACTTTTGATAACTAGTAGTTTATTTTACTTTACAAACTACTTTTTAAAATAAAAAAGTAATTTATACTGCTGCTATGCTTACTTATAAGTGAACTAATCTAACTAGCTCTTTTTAATCAATATAATCTCTTATTTCTTGCTGAACAGTTACATATAAGTTAGTTTTGTCTTATTTCAAGTGTACCAAGATATTTGAACTCGGCTACCTGGTAGGACTTTGTGTTTTTGCAGTGTTTTACTGCTGTCATGACTGGAGCATCTACTGCTGCACCACTCAGGCCCTGGATGTTAGCAGCTCAGCATGTGTTTGCTTTCTGATGATGATGATGATGATGATGATGATGAAGATGAAACGATCTGGCAGTTAAAGGAAGGACTGCGGGTTTTTCATGAGGTGAGGATGGATCACCCCATGCAGAGACGCGGTTCAGACTCCGTCATCCAGATAAAACCTGGTGGATCTTAAATTTCTTCCTCAGCTTTGAATCCCCCAGTCGTGTCTGAACAGCGTCTGTGATGCTTGTTAAACCGAATCAATGGCGGTGTTTTCTTTGTGAACACACAACATGCTGACACACAGACTCTCACCGACCCACAAACTCAACATTAGCCTGCAAGCGCGTTGAGACTCAAAGCCGCGTGTTTTTAAAAGAACCTCAGTAATTTCTCCTGAATCTGCCCTAACCGGAGCACGGTTCTGTCATAAGCCTCTCCGCCTCGCTTTCAGCACATCTACCTTTCTCTCCTCCTCTCTGGCCAGCTGCTGCTCCAGCTGCTGCAGCTGCTGGGTGGAGCTGTCCAGAAGCTGGTTGTAGGTGGCCGTCAGTTCGTCCAGCTGAGCCTCCACTGCAGCGCGCTCCTCCGGGGACAACCTGGAACAACAGCAGGACCAAGAGTTACAGAAATGTTTCTGCATGTAAAAAAAAGTGTTAAAACGTGTTTTCTGTGCTACAGTGGAAGAAAATCATCATCTAATGACGATACTGAGGTTTCAAAGCAGCAAAAAAGTCCCTCAAACTGTTTTAAACAGTAGAGAAATAAGGCACCTGAACTTTTGCTCACTTTCCAAACCTGGACAATGACTACAATTACTGGAGTAGTTAGAGGATAAGTTAGTTCACCTGCAAATATCAGCTTTTTAGACTTACAGTGTTACTGGAAAAAAAGCAGTTAGCTAACAAGGATATATCTGCAGCTGGTTAGCATTAGCCTCAATCGCCTTGATTCACAGAACGCAATGAAGACGTCTGAGTGACTTAAGCTTTTTCCTGACAGGAAAGTAAAAAAACAAACAAACAATATATATATAATAGTCAAGGTTAAATAGTCCTGCCAAGACAAAATGTAAGACCAACTTAATTTATAAAATTTTAAAGACATTTTAAGGCTGTGTGTCAATTAGGCCCGTCACAATAACAAATAAGCACTTTAGCTGGATGATAAAGTGCTTATTTATAATAATTATCGTAATTATTTCTGGGTCAGAAATAATTACGATAAACGATAATATTGTCGTTTTGGTACCACTTTCAACTAATTTAATGATAATAATGCACATTTACAATCTGTTTTGTAAAAGAACTTCATATTTTTTTACAAAACAATATCCAAAATTAAACACAAGAACCCAAAAATAAAAAATTAAAGAGGAAATAAAAACCACAAAGATTGAAAATTAAAAGGATTATGAAGTCTGTAAACAAAACATACTAATCAGAATGGAAATGACTGGGCTAATTTTAATCAATCATGTGATTATAGCTGATTATTGATCGTACTTGCTGGCCTGTTTGGAGCAGAGGAAGCCCTGCGTGCTGCGTATGGCCTCAGCCACCTGCTCCTTCCTCCCTGCCAGCTGTTCGCTGATGGCCTTCAGAGGAAACACATGAAGATCAGATCAGCAGCCATTTCCAGACAACATTTCACCGCTACGGCGCCGGGAGCTACCTGCTGCGCTGCCAGCGACGACTCGGCGCTGGGGCCGCCGGTCCGACCCTGCAGACCTTTGACCCAGCCCAGCAGCTCCGAAACCTGGCCCACTCTGGCCTGCTTCTCCTCCTCCACCTCTTTCTGCAGGGATGGAGGAATGAGAGGAGGAAGTGTTAGCATGAGAGGCAAACGGATCGGATCGGACACTGGGGTAAAAGCGGGTCGGACCTCCTCCTCCTCCAGTCTCCTCAGGGCGTCACTGATGTACTTCACATGCTGGGTGGTCAGCGTCACCAACGCCGTGTAGCGCGTCCGCAAATCCATGAACTGGAAACAAATTCACCAGAAAACAACGACTCACCGGGGAAACTTCAGGTAATATCAAAACGTAATCAATACAATAATTTGTATTGATTGTACTGAGAACGACTCGTTACCTCCTGAGTGACGGCGTCAGATGAAGAGTGCATCCTCCTCCTCTTCACTGGGGATTTATGCGTCGACTCCACAAACGCTCTGTAGGTCATCAGCTGCAGCTCATAATCCTACAGAAGAAATGCATCATGGGAATTTACTGACATGTAAACCAGACTCATCTGACGGACGGACGGACTCTCACCTTGACGGAGGTGCAGTACTGTTTGGAGTAAGTCTGGCACTCGTCTAGTTTGGTCTGATTCTGCTCGATTTCAGCCACCAGCGCCTGAAAACACAGGTAACCATGACAACGGTTAGCTGACGGCCCGGTGGCGCCGGCGGCGCTCCGAGGCGAGGTGAACGGACCGTCTGCTGGGCCAGCTGCTCCGACAGCGCCCTGCTGTCCGTCTGTCCGGCCTGGGCGCTCTCCTGCCTCTCCGTCGTCTCTTCGATCCACCGGATCAGAGCCAAGTGGTTCTGCCTGTACTGCTGCAGCACCGAGCCTAGAACCTCCAGGTCCGACCGCCTGCAGGTACAAACAACAGAGACGTTCTGACGGTAAAAATCCAGCATTTTCAAGGAACGTTTTCAAACTTTTCCATCACTTTGGAGACAAAAACAAATTAACTAAAAAAGATAAATTCACTTCACTATTTTACAATATTATTTATTTCTATTAGTAACATCTTGTTATAATATTCTGCAGAAGGGACAAGGAAACTAAAATATGACAGAATCAAATGTTTTGAAATGTCTCACTCACCAAAGCACAAATTTAACAAAAAAAATCCCCCAATTTAAATAACTTAGTTTAATGTGTAGGATGTAAGTCACTGAGCCAGAAGGAATCATAATTATTTCAAACCCAGAGAAGGAAACCTCTGCAGCAGTCGGAGCCGCCTACCGTGTTTCTGTTTGCCGCTTGACGCCGCTCCACCTCTCTGCCATCTGATTGGCTCTCTCCTGGTAGCGCTCCAGCTCGGGGCTGCGGTCCACATGCAGCTTCCCCAGCTCAGCTCCCGCCTCTTTGGCCCGGCCCAGCTGGACCTGCAGGGCCTGGAAAGTCTCCTCTTGTTCTGACAGCTCCGCCTGCCACCGCTAAAGATCGACAAAACGACGTCAAGGAACGACAACGTGATAAATACGCTTCAGGGCTGAAACGATTAGTAGGATCAATCGATTATTGAAATAATGGACTTGAAGTCTTATCACGATATTTTGTAGTACTATCATGATAATAATAAAAGTAACAAAATAACTATTTATTACAATTTTTTTAGGTAACTTTATGAGCCCAACAAACACAAATATTGCTCCTGAAAAACATTCTCATTGGTTTGTGCTTCTTTAGGACACAAGTCTCACCAAAAGGTGATTTTTATGTGTGGTATTTTCAACTGTATCAATATCTGTTCATACTCTAATTAAACAAACTGTTTAGAAAACTACAAGATTAGGTCAGTTCTTGGGGGACTTTTAAAAATCATTATTATAATATTCATTTATTGTGGCAACGATAAGTCAAAATTTCAGGATAAACTTTACGATAAATGTTCAACCCAAGAGTCAACTAGCTTTTTCCTGACAATAAAAAACAACGGATGAGATAAACTCCTGAAAGTAGAAATGTCTGTAAACTGGTTTATTGTAGATAGAGCAGAGAAAATTATTCTGATTAAACATGATTAAGTGATTATTGAAATAATAGTCAACTAATCTAATAATCAATTAGTATACAGACTCACAAAAAGGTCATTTGCTTAAAGAGCACCACATTTAGATCAGTAATTAAGCCAAAACTGTACAAAATATATATATATATATTTTGCATTTAGAACACAAATAAAACCTTCTTTGTCTGTAAATATGTTCTTTCTTCACCCGGTTCAGATTATATTAAAAAAAATCTCATCTTCTAAGCTTCCAGTTAATGCAAAATGTAATGTTAAGTCCAGCAGAGGGCGCTGCTGGACGTTAGAAAGATGCAGATTCATCGTTTGCTACAAATGATGCAATGTTAAGTAAAGGTAAAGAAATCCTGTTATTGCAATTTAAACAAAAAAATATTAATTTTTTCATTTAAAAAAAGGAAGTGATTTGTTTATTTGGATCTTTTAATGCTTTTTTAATGTTGTGTAAAAAGTCTGCAAAAACCAGTTTTTACCCCCAGCTGGTCTCTGAGGTTCTGGATGGCGCCGGTGTCGGCGGGAACGATGTCCTCCTCGCTCAGCCTGCTCTCATACTTCCTGACCTGGCTCTCCGCTTCATCCAGGCTCCGCACCAAAACGTCGACCGTTTTTAACCTGAACGGGTGAAAAACGAACATTTCAATTAATGAGGAAGCAAAACGTTTCAAACTAATCCGGAGTGGTGAGAGAATAAAAAGGCTCACTAACTTCTCCAGGTAGAGCGCTGACAGGTGGTGCAGCCTGTCGGTTCGCTCCACGGCCTGACCGAGCTGCGAGCGCAGGACGGGAACGCTGGAGGACGACGGCTTCTCCTCAAAGAACCGGACGCAGCGCCGCGACACGTCGCCCAGACCGCAGCGCAGAGAGTCCAGCTCAGACTGCAGCTTCTGGACAAAACAGGAAAATAAAGGTTTTGTTTCAGTTTTCTCTCACTATTTTTCTTCAAATAAATACTGAATTTATTTTAATTATACCTAAAAAAATAATTTAAAATAAAACTAAAAAGAGGCAAACTAACATTAATTTAACTAGGAAAAAATTCCCAAGAGCATGTTTACAAAAACTCTTTTTGAACCTTAAATTCTTTAATTCCTGATTTATAAAACCAATTAAACTGACATTTTATCCACTTTTCCTACTCAGGAAGGGCATCCAGTTTCTACAACATTAATAGGTGTAGTTGCCATTTTCCCCCAGCAGGTGGCGCTCAGACTGACCTCTTGCTCTGCGATCTGCAGCGTGTTGTCGAAGCCGGCGCTGGACAGCCGGCTGGGAGGCGGAGTCTCTATGGCCCTGGTCAGCCGGCGCTCGGCCTCGTCCAGACGCAGCGTGACGTCCTGCAGCTCCGACAGGTACGACCGCGACACCGACTCGTCTTTCTCCGCTGCGCAGAAACAGCAGCACCGGTCAGAAACGGGCTACGCTCTCATGATCAACTCACACGTCTGGCTGAAATCTGATTTTCTGGTAGGTCATGTTAATAATTAAACCCAAATGGAATCAGATTTCTGTGTGAACGGTTTTCCAAAGCGCAGAAGAAGAACATGAACGTCCCACAGCAGGGCACTGTTACAGAATAATGGACGCCTCTGGATCGATTCTATAGTTTATTCAGCAATCAGAGCCAACATTATGGTCACGAAATCATAAATCTTATATTTTCCTTATGGTTATATTTGTATTTACCAATATTTAACACCTTGGATGAAGTAACAAGCAATTTCCCTTGGGAATCAATAAAATATATTCTATTCTACATCAGCCAATCAGATTGCTCCAAACAACCTTTACTTCCTGTTAGTGACTAAACATGGTGCCAGGAGACAGAGATCGACTACTTTTAAATGTCGTGTTAATAAAACTCAAGATGCCGTTGGGTGAAAAGATGGGGTTGTTTCTGGGTCGTATTTGGGTGAATGTAAACTGTTTTGCTCGGCGGCGCCCCCACCTGTCTCCATGTGGCGCAGCAGGTCCTGGCAGTGCTGCTGTGCCTGCTCAGCCTCCCGCTCCAGCTCCCGTCTCTCGGCCGCCGTGAACAGCGAGCTCTCCCTGCTGTCGGACAGGAAGTCGGCCAGCTGAGACGCCATGTGGTCCAGCAGCTGCTGCCGCTCCGATGGACTCTGACTGCGAACCTGACAAAGGAAACAGGCAGAGAACGGAGGTGAGACCTTCAGTTTAAAAGCCTGGGACTTTCTGAGGAGATGTGTGAGAGCCTCACCGAGTCCAGAGTCCAGTCGGAGACGGACCGGATGTCTTTGAGGACGTAGTGCCACGTGACCACGCTCTTCATGTTCACATGCAGCTGATGCCACAGAGACATCACCTTCTGGTAGAGCTGCTCCGCCCTGAGGCGACAGGAAACAGTCAGCGCGACGCTGCCGAAGCCCTCAGCTGCTCAAAAACACGCAGTCGTCCCTTTACGCGGTTCCTTTACATGGTTAATTGTTCTCTAAAAACTGATTAAAGATGTGTATTAAGCATGTTTAAACTAACTTTAGAAATAAGACAACTCTGTTTTTATTTTCATTTTTTTAATTTACCTAAAAAATAGTTTTTTATTCTTTTAACTGGTTAAAAGTGTTTCCTTTGACAAGCATATTGAAACTGTACCTAATGAGAAACGTTAGTGTAGCACCTGTGGTCTGAGGGCCATTTGCAGCCAGGGGATGATTTATTTGTTATTTTATTCAGATAACAGGATAAACTGCGGCTCATCAGGTTGAAGCAGATTGAAGTTAGATGTTCCATGAAAGCCGTAGAGTTTGAGTCTGACCTGCTGGACGTGTCGATGGCCTCCTGGTTGGGGGGAGGGACGGAGAAGCACACGGAGGGAACCATGGCTTCATTCCCAGTCGGGCTGATCACCTTCCACTTGGTCCGCTGGGAGTTGTCCTCCAGCACACACTCCTCGCCCCGGTTGATGGTGATCTGAGCGGAAATATGGGAGAAAATTAACAGAAACATCAGGCAATTATGAGAGTTTGAGAAAATGGAAGAGATTAGAGACAGAATGGGACATCAGGGGTAAAATCAAGCAGGAGGAAAAGAAAAAAGCAAAGAGCAACAGACTGATCATAAAACATGAAATGAAAACAAATCATGAAGCTGCAGGAGATCCTGGGATGACCATGGGATCGGAGGAACTGGGACGGAAACGAAGCGGCTTTGCATCAATAAAGCTCAAACAGAAAACGTTCTCCAAACTCAGCGTTTGGTTTTCCTGACAGTCTGATCAGAAACCCAGCTGTTAGCGATTAGCATTTAGCTTCAGTTTAGAGGAAACTGCCTTTCTCGCCCCTTCCCTGCACACAGACACACGTCAATAATGCAAAGCTCGGCACAAACAGGAAGTATATGAAATGCATTCAGAGCTCGTCGTTTCTGACTGAATGTTCAGTTCAGTGAGCGCCTCCGACTCTTATCAGCTGATGGCAGACAATCATTTTCTGTAAATATTGGAATTTAGCTTCTATCAGGATGTTTATATATAATTTATATGCATTTTATTTTTGATTCTGTGTGCTTTACTCTGGTAAATATATTGAGTTGCACTAATATTTATTAATTGTTTTAATACTTAAGGAAATTACAAAGCAAAAGTTAAATAAAAAAATCCAGAAGAAATATTCACATATTTGCTGCAAATATTTAAATCCATGTTTAATCATAAAGGTAGCAAATTATTTCCACATGGTTATTTTTTATTTTCACCTTTTATCGTTTAATTGTTTTAAAATTTATATTTTAATTTAAATTTGACTTTGCAGTTTATTGTAAATTAGATTATCAAAACTACAGAAATAAATAAAAACAATATAACAAAATTATTAGAGATTAGTCCAATAATTTATCTCATCAGTAAAAAATTAATTATGAGGAGTTAGTTGCAAGGAGGAAAAATTTGCTTTACAAAGTTGTTTTTAAAACCAAACTAACTTTGATCAAAATCATAATTTCTCTGTACATGCTCTAACTTATAATTATAGTAGCACAGAACATATTAAACCCCATTTATTTGCTTTCCGTTTCATTTATTTTCTCCAATTGTCTTTGCTTTTTTTTATTCATCTAATTAAATAATTGTTTTGTATATTTTTGTTTTTTGCTTCGTCGTTTACAGGTTCATGTTTCATGTCTGTTATGTGTGAAAAGTCAGAAATAAAAGAATAAATAGAAACGATTTTATTTTATAGGTAAATAAGCAAATAAATCAAACTTAGAGAAATGTGTTAAAAAGTCTTAAATCAGCTGATAAGGAAGCGAGTGAGAATCTGAGGTTAGAGAAGGAGAAGAGAGGCAGCTATACCTGAACGTTTGTCTTGTCAGGCCGACCGACAGACGAGAGGAAGAGGAGGAGGGAGAGGAAGAGGAGGAGGAAGAGGAGGGGTGTGGAGAGAAAAAAAGACAGCGAAGCAGAGAAAGATTACTGTGGTGCTCGACTCTCCAGAGCCTCTGACACTTTGAGCCGAACCCCAAACCCAAACAGGAAGAACCGGTGTTCAAACACACCGACCCGGCAGAACCTGCCGCTAAATATAGCAGCCAGACCTCCAGGGGGCGCTGCAGAGAAGCTACGGGGTCCTGCTTGGGACACATTTAGAGTTAACATGCTTTTGGACTCTCTGAAGATGGCCAAGCTAAAGGTCCGTCAGAACCAGCAGGACGGATACTTCATCTCCTCCGAACATCCCTGGGTTTCTGTCTACATTTCAACAGAAACACTTTCTGGATCCTGACAGGTTTCTGATTAAATGATGGAGCTGGAAAAATAAGAATTCTGACTTTTTCTCAGAATTTATTTGGTGAATTAAGAGTCTTAAATTTCAAATCTACCAGAGAAATCTGGGACAGGCTTTCAGTGTGAATAAAATGCAGGTTTACAAATTCTTACTGCAAGGAAGAAACAGTATATGAAAATAATTACATAACAACACAGCTGGCAGAATGTCTGGTTATTTATTTGGATTTTTGGCACAGAATTGGAATTAAATCAGATTAAAGCTAAAATTTTATTTATTTATTTATTAGTGACCCTAACCCTTTTGATTTCAAGATGCTAAAATAATATTAAAAAGGTTTCAGTATTTTAATTTATTTGATATTTCCTGCAGTCCATCAGGAATAATTTAAACTGTCAGTTTAATCCTACAGTCTGATTGGTTGAACTGCAGTTTACCTGCAGATTGGCCACCTTGTCACTGTTAACAAACGTACAACACACTCCAGTACAGGTCTGTAAAATTATTTATTACCTACTAAAGCATTGAAATTAATTTTATTAATGCGGAAGTCCTTACTTCCACATTTCATTTTCTTATTCTGTAAATTATTTTGCATTAAAATAACTTTAGATTAAATTAATGCATTACTAATTTTATCATAAATTAATTCATCAAAAGCTATGTTAATTGTGACACTTATTTTCCTGAATAGTTTAATAAATGACCCAATTCTTGATATTTAAAATGGAACAACAACCACTTTATTTCCTCCATCTTGTCAGATCTTTTTAATCCTCTTCCTTTAGACTGCTTGGGGTTTTCTGATGCTCAACTCTTTGAGCTGCTTGAGTTTAGACCAGACATTTTTCTCCTGATAGACATTTCCGCCACATTTCTCCAAGCGAACCCTCGCTGCACCAACCCTAACGCCGCCAAGAAGGAAACTTGGCGGCGTTTCCTTCTTGGCGGCGTTTCCAGGGGAAGGTGATCACCGGTGAAGGTCAGAGGTGAGTAACGGGTGAAGTTCGGCTGCCGTACCTCGATCTGTTTGTAGTCGCAGATGGCTCTGATGGGTGTGGCGCCACCCAGTGGACTCTCCGCGCCTCGGGGCCGGAGCTGGACCACCGTCTTGGCCCGACCCACCAGGCTGGCCACCGTACTACGGTACTCAATCAGCTGCTCCTTCTCCTCCTACAGGAACAGCAGAGGGTCATAACTCAACTGGTGACCTGTTACCCTTCCTTTAACAGGTTAGCATAAGTCTAAACAAAACGTGTTCATTACATTTTTTACTCATTCTTAGGTAATCAGATTTTAGTCTGTTCAGTTCAGAATTAGTCACTTTAAACCCAAATAAGCTGCTCAACTCAACATTTGAAGTCGCATGTGAAAATGGCTGCAAACAGATTAGACAACCATATATCTTTGAAAAGCAGAAGTGGAGCCTCCTGCACAACCAACAAGAATGCAGCAATGACTTCTGGGTGGTGAGTCAACAACAAAACTCTTGTCTTTTCCAGCAGCCGTTGTACAGCATTAAAACCAGGTGACCACGTTGGAACAGTCTGGTTCTGTAGACATGATGCCTTCAGGTGAGTCACTAGCTATAGTGGCTAACAGGTGCTGTCTAATCCAGTAATGCATTTACTGAAATCTGCATCCTGTCTGCTTAGACAGCACCAATGTCTCAATACCCATGAATCATAGCAGGTCTTGCTATAATTTATGGATATGGAGGCGCTAGTGCCATCTAAGAAAACTTTTTAGCCTTAATAATTGAAGGGACTGAGCTGCAACTTTAAAGAGGCATAAGAACATGAAGAACCAGCAGGAAGACCAGCGTTGTCCAAGCCTCTGGACCTGAGCGGACCTTTCCAACTCGGCCGATAAACATTAAACATTTAACTGGAGGGCTCTTCGCACTGACAGCCGGGGCTACACCTCCTCATCATCATCTGGCCCAGAGAAAAGGGAGTCATTAAAGATTCATGATGGAGAAACAACAGGGAGGCAGCTAGCAGGTCGTTGCTGATGAGTTTTTACATTACGCCTCTGAGATAAATTTCCCACTGAGAGACGAGGCGCCACTGTCAGGACAACAGCAGCAGATCAGCTGGTGATTTAAACCTGAACCAACATGCAGAAGATGCATTTCTGGAATATAACGAGTGAGACGTGACATTCTGAGGCAAACAGGTTCGATGGGGAGAATCATCGAGCTGGAAACTCCATCAACAGGGAACAGAAAAGATTTAAGGTCAAACCCCAACATGACCTTCAGCTGAGGATCTATAGGCCTCAATTAGCAGGTTAACGGTTCAATTCTTGACAGGAAAAGTAGAAAAAAACTAATATGTAGGGGTTGGAGGGAAAAAAACCTTCTGGATCTAAAATCAAGAAGGCAGCAGTACTGAGGTCTGCAGAGCGGCGTCTGAATGAAGGACAAAACGTCTGAGACGATGGACTGATGGACCTGAATCACAGCATCATGTTAGGAGAAAACCAAAACAACTCCCACTGGTGGGAGAAAAGAAACATGAGGCTGCAATGGCCTAGTCAAAGTCCAAACTGCAACCTGCCTGAAAACAGAATGGGAAAATGCAAAGACTGTTCAGAAAATGAAAGAATGGACGAACGGACGGACGGATGGATGTGAGCGTGGCTAGATCCAGGCTAGTGACCGAGCTAAAGCTTTCTGATTGGATGTCTAGTTACCATGGAGTCCTGCAGCAGGTCCTCCAGTTTGCTCAGCCGGCTGTTCTTGTCGCAGGTGTACTGTCTCTTTATCGTCTCCTGAAGCTGCCGCAGGTACGACTCGCAGTCCCTGGCGTCGCTCATGAACTGGAGGAAAACGCACAAACGCCAAATATTAACAACCAGCAGAGAAAAATCCAGTTTAAACTGGTTCTACCCAGTGTTATCTGGCTGTAAAACTGGTTCTATCTGGTTTAATCTGGTTTTATCCAGTTAAACTAGTTTAATCTAGTTTAAACTAGTTTAACTAGTTTAAACTAGTTAAACTCAATAAACTCAATAAAACTCAATAAAATGGTTTTATTGAGTTTACACCAGTTCAATCAGAACCACAATGGTTTTATCCAGTTTTAAACGTTGCGGTAGCGAAAGCAGAACCTTAAGCTCACCTGGAAGTAGGCGGTGTTGTCTTTGAGATGCTGCTCAACACAAACACACAGCTGCTCCACCCACTGCCACTGCGTCTGCAGCGCTGCACTGTAGGCCTGGAAACAGAAAACATTGCTTTTACTTCCATTTTTAATGCAATTTATTTTAGAATCACATAATAAAAATTGTAACTTCACGTTTTGATTTATTCCTCAGAAATAAATGAAAGCAAAAGAAATGTCATTAATTTTAAATAACCTTTTAAAATGAACAACAAAAACAGTTTGCGATAGGAAGTATTCATTCAACCCTGACTATTTGCATGCAGAGTTTCTGGAGTCATATTTCTCTTGATCAATAAGTGCAACAGTTTTTTTAAAACATTTTTAAAAATGTAAAATCCTCCACAGGAGCTTTGACTTTAGCTAGAAACAAGATTGGCTCTGAAAACGGAGTGAATGCACAAACATTTTGTTAAAAGTCTGACGCTATCAAATAAAGGTAATTTTTACTAACTAATTTATGACTTCTATACACAGCATGTAAAAAAAGGTTTTAGATAATTTTCTGTTCGGATTTTTTTGTTCTATTAAATTTTTTTACTGGTAATTGGAAAACAAAACCAACTCCATTGTTTATTTGTTGTGCTGTAGTCAATAAATAAACAAAATAAAAAGGAGCTGGAAAACATGGATAAATCAAGACGTGTTCTCGTTGTGCTATTTTAATTCAACAAAGTTTAAAAACTTGCCAAACACCGTTAAGCTGGACCTTATTATGATCCGGTGCTGAACAGAACAGAAAACCAAACATGAGTTCAATCTGCACAGACATGAACAGAAAAAATGGAGGATAAAAATGGAAAATAGGATGAAAGGAAGGAAGACATTGAGAAGAATGAGTTTCTCAATAGATCCTGAATGTGGTGGGCGGAGCTTCCAGCCTAATGTCACAGAAGCCCCGCCCACTTCTATTCAGCAGTAAAGACCAACCTGAGGTAAACGTGTAAAGTTTACCTCCACAGTCTGTTTGGCCGGATGGTTTTCCTGACAGAGCCGGCCAGCCGTTTCCTGGATGGAACGCATCATATCCTGTTTCTCTGCCAATTCCAACTTCAACTCCTGCAACAACCAGAACCAGAACCAGCGGGTTAACATCAAGGTGTGTTTATGTTCAGTGTGTACAGAGGAGAACTTCGGCCTCCGTCCCTCACCTCGTACAGCTCCCGCTTGGCGCTCATGTTGGCGTTGCCGTCGCTCCAGTCGAAGGAGATCTCCTCTTCCTCGCGCTCGTTGAGCCAGATCAGCTCCTCGGTGCAGCGGGACACGAACGCGTGCAAACTCTCCAGGCTCTGCAGGCGGCATGACGAATGTTCCTATGGAAACCACACAAACACCCCCCATCAGACACACAACAACACTTCCTCTCATTGTTTGGTCAAGCTGCTGGTTGGGATGAAACTGAGGATTTTAAAGCCAGTCGAAGATGAAATACAAAGTATTTTTTGTCTAATTTCTAGTGCAAAGGCCTTAATACAGTTGAAATAAAACAAACTAACTTCCAAGTAACTTTTCAGCAAAAACATAGGAACTTGTTTAAAGTAACTCCTTAACATTGATTTTTTTTTTTATCTTAGTCTTGTATTTCACATAAAACAAAACAATTTTCAACAAATTAAAAGGAATTACTGATTTAAAACAAACTCCCATATTTACTTGAAAGTCAGTTTTGTCTTATTCCAAGAGTACTAAGATATTTCAGCAGAAACTAGAGAAACATACTTGGTAAAACCTTGTGATTTTGTGGTGTAACTTGTCAGCCAGATATTCATGATAAAAAGGGGCTTTTGTTGTAAAGCTTTAAAATGTACAAAACTGAAAATTTAAAACTCCAAAGCAGCTACTTCAGCATCGCTGAAAGGATTAAGATACAGCAGAACTGCAGAAACACAAACATTTAACTAGAAAAAGAGAAAAAAAGATGGAAAGCGCATAGAGCAGATGGAGAATTTGTTGTCATGCTTTAATGGGATTAACTGGGAAACACTCACCAGTAGCTTGCAGTACTGGTGCTCCAGTTTGGCCAGGGTTTCAGAGTAGCTGCCTTTATAGTTTGGGGATACTTTAGCCTAAATGGAGACAAACACAATATTGGTTATCAACTGTAAAGTTTACTAAAATAAAAGCTGGCCCGGTGGGGCTGCATGTGCACCTCGTAGCTGCGCGCCTCCTGCAGGCTGCTCAGCAGCTCCTCCACAGCCGTGTGGATGGTGGTGTGCTCCTGCAGGTTGTTCTCCACAGAGGGGAGGTCTGCGCCCCATTCTGCTCCCTCCAGCAGCTCCTAAAACACACAATGACAGAGTTTATCTGCAGACTTTGGCGTTTTGTGGAAGTGAAAGGTCAAATCTCCAACACAAAATACAAAAGTTTTCATATTCGGACGCGAGAAGGTTCTGTCGGCAACAGCTCCAAACGATTTTCTTTAGAAAGTCAAGATTTAGCAAAATGTCAGTTTGTTTAAGACTCGAGTGTTTTTATGTTTCTTTCTAATGGGAAGGAATCACCATGGCAACCAGAGTAGGGCTGCAGCTAACGATTATTTTAGAAATTATTTTGAAAATTAATCAGATAAAAAAATGGTACATTGTGCAGATTTTTAATTTAACCAATCAAACCTTTTCATATATTAGAAATACGTTGAAAGATGCAAATAAACAGTTCAATTCATTTTTTAATAAAAAAATAAGCATTTTATTGCATAAAATGCAAGAACAGCATGACTTTAGTGAAAGTTTTATCATTTGCTTTTATCAAAGCTAAAAATAATACTTCCAATATCAACCTGTGAAAAGCTCAGTTCATTTATGCTTGATTATTTTTTTATAAACTGATTAATAACTAAGGTGATTAATGGATTTTCTTTAACACAATTTGAACCATGTGACTACTTTTTAAATGCTTTTTCTGTTTTTGCAGTGAAAAGTCAACGAGATACAGCTGAAAATACAACAAATTAAAAATGTTTCATGTTTTTTAATCTACAACTTGCTCAACAGAGAAAACTTTATGGTAAAAATGAAGAAAAGATCGATTTATCTCCTGAAAATATGAGAGTTTTGTAGGAGGTAAAGAACCTAAAATCACAATCAAACCAGGAAGAGAGCCACAGATCCTGGTTATGTTTAAAATAATCCGTTTCTTTGAACGTTTCGGGCAGTAGAGGCTGACCTGTGTCTCCTCCACCCATCCCAGCAGCTCATAGATGAACCTCAGGCTTCCTTCGTCCTCTGATGACGACATGGCCACCAGCTGGGAGCGCGCCATCGGCCGCCGCAGGAGTGCGGCTCCAACGGCCCCCGCGGCCCCCACAGCGCCCAGCAGGGTCTGACCCAGAGAGAGGCCTCCGTCTGTGGCTCTCTGCCAGGGCGGCTCCGTGCCGGTGGGCCCCAGGGCCTGAGAGAAGTGGCCCTTTCTGTAGACGCTGGAGCACTGCAGCCGGAGCGAGACCAGCTCCTCCTGAAGGCAGTTAACTCTGCAGGAATCGGGAAGTAGAGTCAGTATTAACGGAGAGCGGAGTATTATTTTTCCCCCGTATGTTTCTGTGTTTCCTGTAAAAACAGAAGCTCTGAAGGTTTGAGCCTGATTCGACTCCGCTCAACGGTCTGTTGGTGTTTTTCTCTGAATTGCACGTCTCCTGGAAAGGTCACGAAAAGGTCAAATACTGTTACAAAGGAGGCAGAATTAATTTACTGTGTAGGATGAGTCAACATGAAATCAGGTAAAAACTTCTCCATAATATTTACTAGTAAATTTAATCAAACTGGATTTTAAATCTGAAAAAAAGGGATTTATTCCTTTTACACAGTCAGTAAAAACTTGTGTGAACTAGGAAACTCTCCTTTTTAGTTTGATTAATATGCGTCGTGCAATAATGCATTAAATTGTTCAGATTAATGCGTTGCCATTTATATAGCAAAGCTTGAAAGATTCTAGTAATTTCAACATGAATGAATAAATAGAGGGAACATTTAACCCTGGAAATGTTCTTCAAGTGATAGAAGGCCGACTTTATAACTGTCTTTATGTGTCTTTGAAGGTTCAGCTCTGAATGTCCTGTGACACACATTTTTTCTTAATATTTCATGCTCCATGTGCAAAAAGGCAGAAAGTTGGATTGATGAGACTTTTTTGAACCAAAGTTTTTCAGTCAGCAAAGTTTTCTAACCTAGACTTTAGTTTTTTTTGTCTGTATGTCAAGACTTGCTAACAGAATTAGCTGAACGTTCTCTGGTCCGATTTACTCGTATTCTCACCTGAAGGCCAGCTGGTCCACCTGGTAGTACTTTTCCTCTCGCAGGACTTTCAGATCCTGCTCGATTTGCCGGATCAGCGCCTCGCAGTCCTGCAGGTAACACGCCATTTCTCTCTCGCACTGCACCGCCTCGCCGCTCTCGGCCCGGGACGCGTCCTGAAACCAGATGACAGACGCTTCAGTTCCTTCCCTTCTGCAGCAAACTCCTGCCAGATGCCATCAGAATTATATGAAAAAGTAGCTCTTTTTCATTCACATTTTCTTTCATTGATTATTCTTTTTATTTTTTTCTAGTTAAACTTAAATGATCAAAGTGGTTTTAATGGTTTATTGCTAATATGATTTTTTTTAAATCTCCTTTCTGTTGTAAAACAAATAAGAAGCAGTAATTATTAAGAGTGTTTCCGTTTCCAGGATAAACGTGGAATATTTGCGGAAAGCAGGAAAGCGGTGAGTAAATATTTGATGTTCCAGATGGGCCGAGGCGCCGTAAAGAAGCTCCACTGTGTTTATCTGACATCCAGCTGGGAGCCCTAAAATCTGTGAAATAACAAACGTAGGCGAACTCACGGCCTGCAGCGTGTTCTTGGCCAGGGTGAGTTTCTCCTCACAGTCCACGGCCGTGTTCTGGATCTTATTAGCTCGCTGCAGCAGCAGCTCCACTCTGAAAGCACACAGGTTCATTAGGAACTCCTGCGAAATCAAACCTCGGCGTCAAAGAGTCCGTCTGTGTTTCTGCACCTCTCCACGGCCGGCCTCAGGGCCTTCTCCCGCTCCAGCATCTCCAGGATCAGTTTGCCCCACTCCTCCTCCAGATCGTTGGGATGGAGGCCCGGAGGAAGCTTAATCCGGCCGAACTCGATCCAGACCTGGGAACGGGAACGGTTAAAGCATCATAAGTCTCGCTCAGCGGTATAATCAGCTGAGCGGGAACAGAGGGGAGCTTTTATTCGCCAGCCGTCATGTGTTTGTGTTCTGCAGGGTTTGCTCCAGGAACCAAGGCAGCGTCATGCAGGCGGTGCTCACCTCCAGCAGCTTGTAGAGATGCTCGATGTGAGACTTCTCCGTCTCCTTGCTGGGGATCTCCGTCTCTTTGAAATGGATGTACTCGTTATAAAGTGCCTGCAGGAGGAACGGAGTGTTAATGGACGCTGCGACTCAAAACCAGTCACCTTTACAGTCTGTGACGGAGCGTCACAAACAAACAGGCTTCAGTGACTTCATGCATGCCTCATTTATAACAAATATGTCAGCAGGTTGCTCCTCAGGGCTTCTGGCAGGTTTTTTTCCTGCTTTATTGTCTTAAAAATTAATTACAAATGGCAGAAAACATTTTCAAAATGTGGCTTTTACTTCAGGCTACGATAATTTATGTGTAACTACGAGAATATAGTCATAATATTAGCAGAATAAAGACAATTTTACCAGAAGAGCTTCATAAAAATGCAAGAAAAAGCAATTTAATGACAAAAAACCTTGTATAATTATTTTTCAATAAATTACTACTTTATTCTGCTAACATTGTAACTTTATTCTCATATTATTTCGACTGTATTCTTGTAATATTATTTTATTTTTATTAAAAATAAATCTTGGTCTGACCCTAACATTTTGTCGTTCAGTTGACTTGAATTTCAAGTCCAGAGAAAAAGAAACTTTAAAACAAGTTTTTCAAACAAGATGGCCGCCCTGGGCATGATGACATCACTGAAATTTGATTAATCAATATCAATTAATCATACACTTAACATTCAACAAAATTAATTAATGATCAACATTAGATAAAATTTGTCGTCAACTAACTTAATACTCAGTGAAATCAATTAATCGTTAATTACCTTAATATTTGATCAAATCAGTTAATCGTCCAGCTCTAGTTTTTGTTACAACAAACTTCACACCAAAGCAGTTAACAGGAACCAGTTGGTCTGAGATTGATTTGGACAATGTTTGGTGTTAAAGTGTTTTAAAATGAAATAAAAATGATGAAGTAGATGCTCACCTTGAGTTCTACTGGGTTCTGTGGGAAGTTCTTCTTGGCCATGAGGCCCGTATGCTGGCGGCTCCACTGGAGCAGAGACGAGAACCTGGACTGGTACTCCGACCAGCGCTGGTCCACTTCCTGATGACCAGAGGAAACAGTTCAGGGGAAAAGGAAGGAAACTTTCACTGCTAAAGGACAGCAGAAAAAAATCTAAATTATCTTTAAGATGGAAATCAGCAGCAATCGGGTCACACCTGTGCAGCGATGCCTTCTCCTCCCTCTGGGATTTTAGGGAAAGCGTCGTAAATCGAGGAGACGTAAGTGATGACGGACTTCTCATCTGGAGACGGAACGTCGACATCTGAGGAAATCAGAGAGGAGAAACATAAAACAGATCAACCCTGCAATAAATCAGGCAGAGCGTTTTAAATTCATCTGGCTGCAGGTGAATCCTCCACTACAAATGATCAGGCTAAAGGAATGCTGCTGTTGCATTTTAGGCAGTACATTTTTATTTTCCTTTTTAATAAAGGAGTTGAATTTCCTATTTGTATCTGTACTTTATTAAATCACGAGTCACATGATCAACAACCGAATGTCACTACTTACGGAAAAGGCGAAAATGACGACAGGAAGTGGTCGGATGATGAAGGCGCAGCATGTTTTTTAATTACTTTTCTTCTGAACAAACTTATTAACGTGCAATTTTTATTTTGGTTCTTATTTAACGGAAACACTGCAATTGCAAAAGTGTGTTTTCTCAACATATTTGTAATGGAAACGCAGCTTCGTTAAAACCCATCCATCCATCCTGAACTTTTTTTAAAGTTTTATGCCCAATGATTCAGTAAAGAAAGGAAAATAAAAGCAGGTTTCCTCAATAAATGGCAGAAAAAGAGCAATAAAAGACTTTCTCTGAGAAAATGTGGAGAAGAATTAACTAAGATCACTTCAAATTATCTCCAGAAAGTCTGGCTGCTTTGAGGGAAGATGTGTGATGTTAACAGAAGAGCGGTTCCGATCCGCAGCCTCACCCTCGGCGTCCAGCAGCCTGGTCACGCCCAGCGATTCGGCGATCTCGAAGGCCTGCTCCAGGTTCTCCCGGTTGCTCTGCCGGGTCACGGCCTCCATGTTGATGAGGTCCGGCCTGCAAAAGCAAACACAGAGGCAGCATGTTGGTGTCCATCTGCCTAAAACGCAGCGCCGCTCCGCCTGCAGCGGCCCTGACCTGTATCTGTGCAGCAGCGCGTTGAACATGCGGCCGTCGCTCCACGCCGAGCTGAAGTTGGTGCAGCGGAGGCCGGGGTAGCCCTCGGTGGCCTGCTGGCTCCATAGCAGCAGCTTCTCTTTGGCTGTGAGGTCAGCGGACTCGCCGCAGACGTAGATCTCTGAGATCTGGAGGGGAACAGAGAGCAGAGGGAGAGGTAAAAATGAGAAAACAGACGGAAAAACCTACAGCAGCCGGAAATAAAGTCGCTATGGAAACAATATAACACAAATATCTTTGACTGAACCTGATGTTTCCTCTCGCCTTGATGTCTCTGACTATTAATAATAAGAATAATGAGATAATTATTCATGTATAATTAAATAAACATATTCACTGCAGCATCATTACCCTCCTCTTCCCTGCCCAGCCTCCATTTATCTCTTTTTATCACCTTCCTTCATCTTCATCATCTCTTGTTTCAGAGGATGATCAACAAATAAACAAAGTTTGAAGGAAAGGAAACATTTTGTCCTAGTTAAAGAAATCACAAAATATTATTTAAAAATTAAACACACAGAACATCTAACTGCCTAAGATAAAAAGACACTTTTAGGAAATTTTTCTTTTGTTTCCAATGATGAAAACTTAAACTTTCTTTCAAGTGGGGTTGTGCGAGATAGCCCTGAGCAGTCAGTATCTTACATGCAGTAGAAAGCAGTCAGGGTAATCAATGAAAAGTTTTTCTAAGAGGACCAGTTCTGGCAGTTAGTACATTCTACCACCACCAAACAGTTTGAGGGCTAAACTGGTGCCAATTACTGTCTGAGTTTAAAGGGGCGGTATCATGTATTTTCCCAGTATTTTATAACATAATCCAGTAACTGTGTTACCTTCAGTTTCCGTGTACATCAAATATGACTTAAAAAAATTTAATGTCAATCTGACACCTAGAAATTGGGCCTCTGTCTCTTTAAGAAGCTCCTGCTCTTTCTGACACTTTTTGCATTAAACTCCTCCTTTAAAACGTCAGTGCACCCTTAGAAAGCATTTCTTTCTTCATCTGTGATTATTTTCCACAGATGTAATACCATCAAAAAAAACAAAGAACTTTGATCCTAACATGTTTAATTCCTGCTGTCTAGCGCTGCTTGTGTGGTTCAAAGACAGTTGTTGTCATTAGTTGACATTTTAAAATGTGTTTTTCCAGTAGAGGGAAAACTTCTGCCTAAAACATAAACAAACTTCAACCACTTCAGCCAAATTAAATCAAAGTTTCTCCTTCCCCAGACGATTAAACACAGCTTCCAGGGAGGCTAGCATGGAGGCTTTTCCTCTGAATCCTGTCTGTTTGGGACCGTTAATGACGCAGGGGCAGTGACCGTCAGCGCTTGGCTGCTGCTGCTATCATCAGTTGCCTCCTGTCAGACCGCCCTCCCTCCCTGCCGCTCACACGGAGCTGGGAAACGTCCGGAGAATGCCGGGAGACTGCGGCAACGGCCAAAAAATGCAGAGCAGGAGGGACAAGAGAGAGCAGCGCTGCTAAACACACGCAGCAGAAACACAGAAGATGTGAAGTTCAACACCTGCATGCAGAAATAAGTCCATGACTCTGAAGCACTTATTAGCAGCTAAAGTCACTATTAATGCATAAACCATTAATCTGCAGGTTTTGACAACTGAACGCAACTTTAGAGACCAAAATCCAAACCTATAGTTGCCACATCAAGTGATGTTTGAGGTCAGATTTAATATTAAAATCAATTATAAGCTAAACAAATGTCTGATAGAAACTATCTGTTGCAACACACAGATAAAGTTTTATCAAAATATTTTGTGGTAGTAGTTTTATAACAATAAAAGTCACCTTCTGAACTATATTTAATTTACTGTCAGAAATGTAATGTTACTATCCAAAAATAAAAAGTAAAAATGGAAAAGAATATAAAAAAGTGTTCAATTGGCTTTAAAAACGTGAATCAAACAATTTTCAACTGTAAATGTCACTATCCAAAAAAAAAAAAAAAAAAAAAAAAATTAAATAAAGCAGAAAACTGAAAGAAATACCTAGTTAGCTTTAAAACTGTGAATCAGATTAGTTTAAACTAAGGGCAGGACTTTAATTTCCAATCATTAATTTACATAGATTTTACTCGTTAAAAATTTTAACACAATTAAAGTAATATTGTTATTTTACTTTTGTTTTACTCCAGGGCTGGAACCTTAGTTGTGTGTTTCTGGTACGACCGTAAATCTGATGCACAAGCTACATCTGTTAACAGCAGCAGTGGATGATGAAGCTGCTTCTCTTGAGCCATTTCTGCATCAAATAATTATCTTATGTAATGCAGCAAAAAAACAAGAAAAAGACTATTGGTGTGTTCAAGTTGTGCTAAAAGCTGTTCAAGCCTAAAATAGCATTTTATTGATAAATTTAGCAGCTAATTTAGCAGCGAAAAGGGGTTTATAACAGAAAATGTTGCTTATTATGTCAATTAAAATGCAATTACTTTGATTAATTAATAGCAGACCCTGAGATTAACTCAATTTTAACCGAGTTCCACCACTGCTTTATACTGTTTACTTCTACTGTAAGTGACCTTTTCCTCCAGTCGGTTTAAATTTGTAGTAAACGATTAGTTTCAACTTACAGGAGAAAGTAAACCCCGTCATTACAGCCACTGGCCTTTCTCCAAAACACTCAACCGTCCTTTCTGCCTCTCACACTCCTTAAGACGTCAGCAGTGTGTGTATGTGTGTGTGTGTGTGTGTGTGTGTGTGTGTGTGTACTTGTTTATATTACGGTGTGGGGTCCAGAGCGTGCGTGCGTGTGTGGGGAGACGAAGGGAAAAAGGAGGATGGAGGGACTGGCTGGGCCGTGTTGATTAGGCCATAACAACAAAGGCGGAAAGAACTGACTGAAGATGAATGTCCTCCAAATCCGATAAGAACTGAAAACCGACATGACCACTGCTGCAACAGGCTGCACACATTACGACGATGAAACCACGAAAACAAACCAGATACAAACAAAAAGAGCTGCAAAAGGTCCTCCAAACACCGGAGACCAGCGGTTTGGAGAATAAGGTCCAAGATCTAAATTATTCCTCTTTCTTGGGAATAAATATCTGTGGCCAGATTCAGAGAATCAAAACAGGAAAGGAGAAACACTGAAGCTATTTCTAAATATTGTTTTTATGCTGACTAATCCAACTATTGAAGTTATTCACTGTAAAAACACAAAATCTCACCAAGTATTTTAGGTCCAAGTTTTAGTGTAAATATCTTGGTACACTTCATATGAGACAAAAAAACATTTTGCAAAGTTTTTCATTTGAGGTTGGATAATTATTCAGCAAACGTTGGATTTCACTGAAAAAAAGCAAAATCTATATTAAATAAAGCTATAAGTTTCACAGCAGATCTTCAGTAGTAGGTAGGGACCACAGCTGTCAACAAAAGGCTAAAATATTTGAGTTTCCCTCTAAAAATGGCTATTTTAATAGTTTGAATACCAAATCTACCTTAAGAAACATTAAAACACTCTGTTGGAAAGGGTCTTAGGTCTACAGCTGAAGCTAACTTCCAGTCTTTCTCAGATCTTGGCGCTACAGCCAATCAGCATCAAGGAAAATGAATGGCAGTGCAGGATTGGCTGCTTTGCACATGTCAGCCAATGTCAGCCAATAGCATGTGAAGTAGCTTTGCGCCTCATTATTTCAGCTTCCAAAAGTAAATTTTATCTCAAGTGACCTACAAAAAATACACAATAGTAATAGGCAAATCCACAAAACTAACCCACGAATAGACAGGAGTTTCCTGGTCTGTAGTTTTCTATCAAATTCAGGTTTAAAATTTGACCCAAGATATTAGTTCTACAAACGTTGGACGGTTTGATTTGGTTACCTTTGTACAAACCTGCGGCAGGTGCTTTGAAGCCGCCAGTTTCTGCGGCACCAGCGGACTCTCCAGGGTAGAGTCCAGTTTCTCAGACGAGCTGCTGGTCAGGCCTCCCCAGTCCGTCTGACTGGGAGTGGTACCTGCCGTTTCTGGAGATGTCAGAGGAAGATCGCTGGAGTAGCCCGACTCGAAAAGAGACGAAGTTTTCATGGCGTCCTGGATGTGCAAATGGCCGGAAGATGTTGGAGAATCACCTGCTGCTTCTACCAGCTGAACTTTCAGGATGTTTCCTGTGGCGGGCGATGGTGCCGGAGGTTCTTTATGAACATCCACCTCGTTGTCCTTCCGCAGCGGGGAGCCCAGATCACTGGGGTAGACCGTCCGCACCACGCAGAGCTTCCCATCCACCTCTCGGATGTGGACTACACCTTTATGCTCCTTTACTACCGCCTTTGGCCTGTTTCCCCCTCCATCCTTACTCACTTTCTCCTTCTCCTCTTCTCTTTTGTGTATCCAAGGTTTTTCCAGAATGCCTTGAACTTTCTCCCTAACCCGGCAGACCCTGCCTCCTCCTGGAGTGGTACTGCCCAGGGCCGACGCCGTGTTGACCGGGGTGGTGGCTGTGGTTTGGCTCGGGATGCTGGAGACGTCAATGATGGCGCTGACCGTGTCTTCCTCCCCAGGAAGGCAGAAGACTCCTCTCCAGGCTGGACTGGGCTTGGGAGTCGCTTCGAGTATTCGGCTGCTCAACAGTCCGCCCATAGAGCTGGGAGACAAAGTATTGCTGTGTGGATCGGTTCTGGAATGACTTAAATGGGATTCAGGCACTGTTCTGCTGCACTCCGCACCTTCAGGATTTTTCTCCTTCACCAGGTCGACCTCGTCGGACTCATGGACCCAGGTCTGTTTCTCCTCCCCAGCCCTCCGGTTCTTATTGCCCTTCTGCTTACGTCTGAAGCGAAGACGTTTCTTTGGTGTCAGGGTCGGTGCGCCGTCTGGATCGCCCTCCCGAAGAGGCCGAACGCAACCCATTGAATTCCCCATGTCTCTGGTGATGCCCCGGGGAAGAATGAAGGCAGCGAAAAGCTAAGCTGAAAGATCAACCTCTAAGGTCTGGCCATTGCCTTCCTGCGCCAATCCTCTTGATTCAAATCTCCAGGCTTTCTCCCACTGAGTTGGATTCAACGGGGCCAGTTAGCAAACAGAAGGACTTGTGAATGATTTTCTGCACCGTTTGTAGTTTTAGCAATGGCAGCGAGGGAAGCGAATGTTGGTCAAGCTTCCAAATATTGAATGACCATTGACAGTCATCTTGTTCAGCTCGGCACTTCTTGGCAAGCTTCACTGCGTTGAACTGGCACGTTACATACGTCACAGGCAAAAGATGAAAACTTCAGAGCAACAGTTGCACCTCGAGGAAGCAACTGTCGCTCAATAGCCGAGAGCCCAGACCCTCTGAATGAAGCAAAGCGTTGAACGAGAGGCTGGTTTTTACTTCGCTACCTTCCAAAATATCAATCCAGGAAGAATATTCTCCAGTCCGTTTGTCCTGTGAAAGGAGACAGGTGGAAATCAGCTCAGTCCAGCTTAGGACTCGGATTTATTGGTAGCTAGTCTAAGGCAACACATCAGAGTCACTTTCATCCTATCTGGGATTCTCCAGCCGTCCCGCCTTCAATACACAGCCAATGTCAACTTGTTTTCTAGTCTCATCTTCCATCAATCATTAAAAGTCCCAGGAAAATTGAAGACAGCTATATCTCAAGGTGAGAAAAACCTTCTGATCTGCTCCCGTTTCATTCCAATCAACAGAACCAGTATGAAGGGATCCAAGAGCTAGAGCTCTATCTAAGCTCATGAATTAATGATCCACAGACCACGCTGTGGTAATGTTAATGCAGCAGAGAAGAAGAGAGATCAGTATATAGAGTCTTCCCATGGTATTCCTGCTGCACGTCCTGCAGTCTGGATGTGTGTGACAGAGGGAGCCATCAGCCAATGCTGCAACAGATTGCAGGAAGTCCAGCCAATACTCTGACAGCTTACTAAAGACTCAGTCTGATTTCCACCGCTCCTCACGTCTAATCCGAACCGTTCAGGAGATTTCTCCTGTGATGATTTGGCTCTTCTGACACATGTTTTTATCCTCAGTGTGGTGGCAATTAAAAGTCTGAATATGACTTTGCAGTTCTGAAAAGCTGGGATCACAAGACTTTCCACTCCATCTCATTCCCTGAGGTTTAAAGTTGTCATTTTGCCAGAAGCCCTTTGGAACTCAGGAGCCCCATCTCCTCATCAGGTGGTGCAGTGCGACGATGCAACAGCTGGAAAACCCCACAGTTTGCAGGACGAGGGCAGGACTTGGATCAGTATGTCAAAAACACGTCCACAGTCCCCTTAACTCCTCAAGTCTGTTTTTTCCTAATTAGGAACAGGCCTCTGGACTCCCAGGCTGGGAAGTCGAAACAGAAAGCAGTTCTGGTCATCAGTTAGCTTCTTCTTGTGCAGATGTGCAGCGAATCTGGAGCAGAGCCAAAAAGATTCAGACTCCGGTGAAGGATAGTCCAGAGCATCACGTAGGACCGCAGAGGAGCCTAAAACATTGCGTCCTCCCAGAAACAAAGACGCGAGGTGTCTCCGGCTGAAACGAAACCTTCAGAGAAGCCGATCCGATTGATACGCTGGAGGCTGGAACGGCACCGAGTGTTTCTGCGTTGTTGGGCGGTCCCTCCGATCAGCTCAGATCTGTCCCTATTTGTGGTTTGAGGCCTGGCGAACCGGCGGCAGGCAGACCAGATCCGCCGCTCCCTCTGCCGGCTGCACGGCTTGGTTTTATCCGCGGCTCGCAGACGCCAGCAGACGGAGAGAAAAAGCTTTTATCTGCTGGCTGCTGCAGCTTCACTCTCTCCTCTGCTCGATCTCTCACCAGCCCACCCCTCCCATCCTCTGGCTCTCCTCCTCCACCAATCCGCTTCCTCATCACTCGCCCCTCTCTCTCTTTCTTCTCTCTCTCAGCTGTTAGGGAACAGCTTTCTGTGCTACAAACACACACTTGACCCAAAAGCTTCCCTGAACGACAGAGGGAAAACGGCAAACTGAGGATAAATGTTTCAATCAATTAATGCACAATTATAGTAATGTGCAGTTCTGGAGCGGTTTGGCATAAAGCATCTTCATTAATCTGCTTTTTGAAACACCAGAGTAGAGCTGCAACTAAAAATTATTAATTGATTATTCACTGAAATTACAATTAATCAACTAATCGCATTAAAACTTTACATATTCCGAAGATTTTTTTATTGAACCATGTAAGCCTTTTTATGCTACATTAGAAATACATTAAAATATGCAAAAAAAGCATTTAATTTGATCCCCCTAAAATAAAATAAAAACATTTCCCCTAAAATGTGATAACAGCATTCCTTTAGTGTTTTTTTTTATCTTAAATGCAAAATGCATATATTTTTTGTACAGTTTTAGCTTAATTACTGCTCTAAGTGTGTTGTTCTTTTAGTAAGTAGCCTCTTTTAAGTCTGTATTCTGGAGTTAACAATTAATCAAATGCTAAAGTAGTTGAAGACTATTTCAATAACTTTTTAATCATTTCAGCCTTACACCAGACGACGTAAAACTGCATAATTAGGTTTTTGTGCTTGGAAACTGGAGTCATCTTAGTGTTTGAAGACAATATTTTGACAGTTTCAAACAATAAACCAGTATCTAAATTATTCCAGGATTTATGGCCATATAATCCATCTAAAATGGCCTGAGGCCGGACTCCATCCTCACACACGCCAGCTTTAATCCTCTGTAGGGTTCCCACCCACCATCAGCTCCATGATGTGATCCTGTGCTGAGTAAAGATGTGTAGAGAATGGATGTAGGGCAGGGAAAGAAGGTTTTTTGTTTTTTACAACTGGGAGCAGCTGATTAGCATGTCAAAACATCAAATAACACCTGAACTACAACTCCAAATCCCAGAGGAGCTGAGAAGGAGGATGCAGAGCGAGGAGGAGGAAGATGAAGCCATCTCTTCCATCCATCAGAACAGACGATATGGAGATCTACGGCAAACAGACTGGATGAACTTCAAAAGACTCCAGTCAGAATATTATTACTTCATTTAAAGCAACATGGCTGCAGGATCTAATTCCCTACTTCAATGTCTCTCTGCTTGGCTTTCCAAACATATTTTTCTTGTGCGTCTAACACTGATAGTAAATGCACACTTGCAGCTAAGAAACCTGAAGATCTTGATAGTTCTGCTAAAAAAAGGACCAAGGAATCAAACTGATTCATATTGGAGTGATTGGAGTCACTCCAATATGAGCACAGAAAGTGATAAACTTGTTATTTAAGCTCTATAAATGTAAACATTTTTATATTTTTTCAAATTTCCAGCTCCATAGGAACCAGACGGGATTGGTTAAATCATTTATATGTGGAACAGTAAAATCTTTATCCTATAATGCTGAAAAAAAGTTATTTTTATAACATTTGAGAGGCATAAAATAATAAAATATTTGTAATCTGATAGAAATTATGTTGTTTTCATAAATTAATTCCTTAACAATGGGGCTTGGAACATATTTCGTATATTTGCATTTTGTTTAGCTTGGTTTTAAACATCTAAAAAAATTTCCCCTCTGACACAAAAGCAAATGTCTTTAATGTATTTGAAATCATTTACAATAACATCCAGCTTAGCAGCTGATTGGAGAGATTTAATAACAAACAGCCTGACCGGCCAATCAGAGGCAGCCACAGGGCAGCAGGGCTGGAGGAGGCTGACATGCTCACCTAAATGGTGACACCTTGTGGCGATGCAGAGTAACTGCAGGATGAGTTGTATATAACAGGACAAACAGATCAAAACTACGATTTGGTTTCTGCTGAGGGTCCAGATGATGAAGGTTTCTATTCCAGGATTTGAACCAGCAACCTGAGCATGAGGTTGACTAAAACAACAAAAGTAGAGAATATTTCTTTGTAATGTTTTGGTTCTGAACAGAAAGGGTGAAACCTCTGAACTCGTCCTGTAATCCTCCATCATCACCATTAAGTCTCCTTTAATCTCTTCATCAAACTGCTGAGTCATGCCCCGGAGCAGCAGCTATACGGCGGTTTCCGTAGTAACCAGATGGCAGCATCACCTTGCCAAGTGTCGTATCACATGACCGAGAGTGATGATGAGTATCTGCAGTCATTTGCAGCGTCACAAAACGGCAGGGAAACGAGAAAAACCAGCGGAACCTCCAGACCAGCAGCAGCAGCAGCTTCACGCATCAATCACCTCGACCTCCAAGCAGCTGGAGCCCAAATCCAGAGCAGCGTCTGCTCTACATCTTTATTTTTAACTCTTCCTGTAGCTCTGATCAAGGCCTCCTCATCTCACCTGGAACCAGAACCAGAACCAGAACCAGAACCAGAACCCGGCAGATTTTACAGGAGAAATGAAGAAAGATCAGGGATTCTGCAGTTTTCACCAACGCAAATGTAAGACTTTTTAAAAACCTTATGACGTAAATTTAAAACCTGCATCTCCATTGAAAATTCTGAATGTCGTCCAGCCAACTGGAGATTCATTTTTAGAAACTCATGATAAAAGCAGAAATGTCGGACGCCATATTAGGGCAATTGTAGACAGTAAATTTCCTCTAAAAGTCTCAGAAATTTTCTAGAAAAATAAGGACATCTGAGTTTCAAAGTCTGACTTTTTACTAGCATTTTTTTTTTTACTTTTCAAACTCAAATTTCCTTATTTTGGCTTGAAAATTTCTAAGAATCTCAAGATTTCCGAGTTTTTTGGTAGCTATAATGCCCCCCTCTGCAGCATTATGAAAAAGCTAGCAAGTGCATATTAGCAGCTAGTTAGCGTTAGCCTCAACCGTCTCGAGTCAGAGCGTAATGCAGATGTCTGAGTGTGACTCAAAGTTTACCCCGACATAAAAGTCCCACAACAACAAAAATACATGCAATATTTGGGATTAAATAGTTCTGTCAAGACAAAATTTCCAACCTGTGATTAGTGTATCTAAGGCCAACTTACTTTTTTAAAATGTCCAACAATTATTGACTTGAATCAACCTCCTATATGTTGCTTAAAAGTTACGTGTAAGTTAGTTTTGTCTTATTTCAAGTGAACTGATGTTTCAACTATAAACAACATCAAAAATTCTTGGTAAGATTTTGTGTTTTTGCAGTGTGGGATGAAAAGGAACCGCTGCAGTTTTATTCAGTACAACATCACTGTCCAATCACACGTCTGACTGGAAGTCACATGTTTTCTCTGAAAGGAGCAGAAAAATCAGCAGCAGATGCCAGCGAATCGTTTCTTCCTCTCAACCAGATGACAAACACAGCGGGAAGCTCCTGCATCCAGAACCACCAACCAGCAGTAATATCTATATATAATAATTAGAAACTAATCAACTCCTAAATCCTCCAAACATCCAGACTTTCTTGCTGTTGTCATTCAGAAAACCATAAAAGATGATCACAGGCTGCAAGTCTGGCTGCATGAAATCTATTTCAGACTTTGACATTTTCCATCATGTTTCTCCAAAACACAGCATTTCATTCCAGAAATAAGATTTAACCAGAGGCTCCATGTTAGCAGCTCAGACCTGGAAGTGGAGGATGATGGTCCAGATGAGTCCCAACGTCAGCTTCGGGTTCCCATCAGTGATGTCATCGTTCCGGATATTCACCAGTTTGACCTAAAATACAACAAAAAAACAGATCAATAAAAAACAGAATGATATTCTGATTGAACCCTGGCAGTTCAAACTACTGGTTCTGATCCAACTGCTCTGATTATGCAAAACAAAACCAGCTATAATCAGAGGAAAAGAATAAAACTAAAGATGAGGGCTGCATCGACTGCAGATTTCTGACTGATCAGGATATTTACAAAGCAGCTCTTACTGTGTCTTTCCTTCAACAAATGACCTTTTTTTGCGTGGGTATGCTCCAGTTAATGATTAATCAATTACCAAATTAGTTTACGGTTATGTCGATAACCGATTAATCATAATTAATACAAATAATCGTTTCAGCCCCATCATGATATGGCCTACACCGTGACTCCCGGTGGGGTTAGATTTTTCCTGAGATGTTCAGGGTTGATTTTGTGTGCCAAATGTCCAAATTTCTTAAAGATTTTAAGCAAAAAGTAAATAAATAAACAGTGCTGGTTGTAAATTTCCTGCAGTGTTTTCCTTTTTGCAGCCAGTTTGTTTGACACATATAGTCCACCTTAACATTTTCTTCTGAAACCTTTCTGCAAACAGATTCAGCTAAATGATGCAAATGAGGAGGAAAATTTTAATGACAGTTAATCAAATTCATAATAACTAATGGCATGAATGAACCCCATAAGACTGGATTCTGAAACTGAATTCAAAGGTTTTATGTTTTTAGTAAATGTTGGCAAACAGCGGCCATGTTGAGAACCGTTACCTGTCTCTGTTTGAGGAAGTCCAACGCTATCTGGACATTCTGCAGTCGATGAAATCTCATCCGTCCTTTTTCTCTGGGCTGAAACGAAACAGACCACACATGAGAAAAAAAAAAAAAACATTTCAAAGTACAATTAAAGTGATTAAAGTCCATGCTATGGAGTCAAAACGATTAAACAATCCTCCAGGGGGCGCCGTCTTCACAACTGGCTGTTAAAAACTGGCTTTTAAACGGCAAACTTTCACTCTGTTCGCCTTCATCGTCTGTCGGCAAACTTTCCCATCATCCTGGATAAAGTGTTGGTTAAATTTTAGTTAAAGGAGAAAGAAGAAAATCACACAAACTTGAGAGGAGTGCAGGATGCAGATGTGAGTTCACTCAGGATTAATAAACAGGAAGAATAAGAGTAAAAATTTTGCTTTTTCTCCATTTTTGTTGAACATCATGATAT